TCAAAAATCGTGTACTTAGCCAGAGTAAATACCTAGTATCAAAACAATGCATATTTTATCTTAATTCATTTAATTAGAAGCCAAAATATTTAACTAATCATTTTCTAGACGGAACAAAACAGTTAATTCGATTATCCACACTCTTCAGTGAAATTCATTTCAATTAACAGTCATTTGAATTAAATTTCTCTATCTATACTAAACACAAAAATATTCAAAGTCAATTCACTTCATAGTCATTTCAACGTTGATAAAGTCAAAATAAAACATGTCACTAGAGTACTTACATTTAAATTATCGCCTTTAAAGTCACTTCATTATTCCAATTTCTTTTGATTATTTAGAGCTCGCACATAATGTTGAATGAATTTAAATGTTCTTTCTTTCACAATTTTCCGTTACTTTTTCAAATATTCGATTTAACGCGTTTTCCCGAGGCAACTAAATAAAAGAAACTCTTCGCGAATTTTATCCGTACTGACTCATTAGGTACTGTAGACTTAAACTCAAGACTGAACTGAAGACTCAATTGGACTGATCTGAAGATTTCTAAAACCGTTGTTTTTGTATTTTTCGTTCCCCCAAAATATTCCGGGTCATGTCAATTCATTGGCCGTTCTTTTTTCTAAGAAATATATTTATTTGTTCAAAACCGAATAATTATGTCGCAATTTCCTGGATTATCGGGGTCAACAGATTTGTTGTAAGAAATGTGAGGATAACTCAAAGAATGCCGAAAAACTCGCGTCGGCCGTTAATCACCAATTTAATTACTTTTACCTTGATTTTAATATTTTTATGGATTTGATTTATGTGAGTTCAACTAACTTGATGAAACTACTGAAGACTGGATATTAAAATAAAAATTGAACGCATTTTAAATATTTCAATTAATTTGGAGTCAACGTTAATTTGTTTCTTTTTCAATTTATTGATACTGATGTGAATTATTGGAGATTCAATTTTTGATTATTTGATTACATTTAAGTTTTACTGTTAAGACATTGTAAATTACTACGCGTTTGTTTTTCCTGGGTCATTACAATAATATACTTGGGACATCCTCTGAACTTATTCTGGAACACCTAATAGATGCCCTGTATTATTCGAAAATGTACATAGGTACTTAGGAAAACGTCCCAATCAATGTTCTGCGACTTTCGCAAAGTGAATTTGTTTCTGTTCCTGATCTTTCAACTTGAGAGAGGCTGAACTCCTTCAGTGCTTCATTCTTCCAACATCCTGAGAGTCGTTGAAGCTTCAACCTCAATTTTGGACTTGTCTCTCCAATTCTAGTAGGGGGAAAAGCGCCATAAATATAAGAAAAAAAGCGAAAAAACATCTCTGTAATTATTGAACTACAACTGAAAATTTTCACACAATAACGTTTCCAAATGAAAGAAACACATTCGCAAAAATTTCGAACCGTCTTGTTTCGGAGTAGGTATCATCACCCCCCACCTTATTATTCCTCCAATTTAATATTTTATAAGGTTCAGATCCCCCCAAAAAAAAAAGTTTAGTTGACTGAAGCAAAATGATATTCGACTGAATAATTTTCTCGTTTTGCTCTTATTTTTCACGGACCTTTTTGCGTAGTTTTATCATCATTCGCCTAGTGCTGGGAGGCAGATTATTGAAATGCCGTCATAAGGGCGGATCAACATGGTTTGATAAATATGTTTGGCGGAGCCTACCGAAGACTGCGGCGCAGCCTTCACGACGGGGGTTGGAAATAATAAAAACTTGTCTCTTGGAATTTTAGAGGATTTTTTTTCTTTAGAATATATGCTAGACGCACGAATAATTTATATCCAAGGGGTTTTTAGGATTATTTCCAGAATAATATCAACTCAAGTAGTAACCAAATTGAGACTGTTTTTCAAGGACACCTAGAGCCTAGTTCCTTCTAAGAAGGAATTTATTCAAGCTTTTTTGTATGGTGTGAATGTGCGCGTGTGTCTTCTCCAAATACCCCCAGGCATATCTCTAACTCCAAGCCAGGTTGATTGAGGTTTGAATCCAAATCTTCAGTATTAACTAAGTACCAGCAAATTTCCTTCCTGACCCTACTTTTTTTAAACGCAACTTCGTTTACACATTACCTGACTGTCCTATAGACAAAATTCGTGATAGTAAGACCAGGCATGTTTCAATTTCTCATTAAAATTACAATAAAAAAAAATATTCTTCAAATATAAAGCCACATAAAGTACCTACATGACATATATGTCCAATTAATAAACGTCTTCCAAAGTGTGTGTCCTCAATAAATGCAGCTTTAGCAAACAGCAATAATACGGTGCGACACAGAGAAGTGTGTCGGAATCCAACAAGTCAAGGCATTCCGACGCTACCGAGACGCCCTATACCCTTTGCGCCCCCGCAAGACAAAGGGAGCGCCCTCCTCGGTTGGGTTTGTTGAAGTTTAGGACGGCGTCGCCCTCCCGGTCGATAACTATATAGCTGTTGTATAACAAAAAAAAAGGAGGTTGAATTTCTTTTTTGCCACTTGGGGGATTATTTCTATTAAACCGTTAGATTTTGGTGGACGAGACTAGAGTTATCTGAAAAATCTTTTTATTTCCCCCGAGGAGAGAGCTAGAAGATCCTTGGAGGTTTAAAGAAATTGGGGTTTTGGTGCGTAGAACACTATTGTTTGAGTGAGATGGGCTCGTCAAACTTAAACAACCCACAGCTTTTTGGGTCAAGTTTATTCACTTTACAATTAATGTAGTGTGGTCTTATTATCTTGCTGGCCATTCTTCTAACCTCCCAATCTGACGATTTGGAAACACGAGGTGGTAGCGTAGCGGTAGGTACTCCGTTTTGTTCCCTAATGGATCAAGTATGATGTCCTTCTATTGGGGTACAAATTTCTCACTTCTTGAAGATTGCATCGTTTAGGTTCTGATTGAAAAAGAATGTCGATAATGATGTGTGATCTTCCTCTCTCCTTCATCCTGCAACTGTTGCCCAATAGGGACAATAATTCTGTCTATTGACATGTCAGATATCCCTGAAGAGTAAATGTTGATTCCTTCCAAAATAAGACATTTTTCTATTGCTATGATCGTTATTACTGCTTTATTTTTCTATCAAAGTCGTTTCCAGTTAGCTCCTGACTTGGAATTAGCTCTTTTCAACCTTTTATTCGTATAATGGACCAATATCTAACAATATCGTCTTGGAGGACTTGTCAAGTTAAAACAATGTGGGTCTCCTTATATGTAATCATCACCTAAACTTTGTTTCGTCATGCAAAGAAAAACCGCAATTCTTGTTACATTTCCTTAGATCTCTATCTGATTTTCAACTTTACTCACTTTACCTTGAGCAAATAAAATAGGTATACGTTCTACACAAAATTAAACATACACGTAAATTTTTTGTGCTAAGGCAAAATAACAAAAAGCCCTAACAACGTTATGAGAAACTATAAATAACCAGTCCGTCTGTTCCCAGAAAACAAATCACTTAATAAACATAAACTTAACAATGTTTTATTTCCAGTTTCCATTTCTTGAAAGTCATCCAAACAAATATCTTTCAATTTTGCGACCCAAACGCGAAGAGTAGGTATAGACCCTCAATTCCGTATCCTTATCCTTCACCTACTATTTTACAGTGAAATTTGTAGGATCCTGCGGGATAATGGAATTGGATAGAAATAAGGAAAAGGGAAAGGATCCCTTCTCGACAGGATTCTGGGGGCTCGCTTTCCGAAGGGCCCGGTTTAATGGCTATTTATACGCGGCGCTTTTTCTTTTGTGCATATCCTTTTGGGTAGGGCTATACAAGGGTCAGGCTATTAATTTTATTTTGATGCGGATGGTGAGGAAGTTGTGCCTTGGAGTTTGTGTTTTATGCTAAATAGTTGACCAACGCTTAAACAGTTTATGTTTACTGCTCTAATTTAGCAATATACTTTGATAATGCCTGAAACCCTAATAAAATGTTACGTTGGTCATTATTATCATAATATTCCTATTTTATGACTATTTCCTAACTTCTAGTCGTTTTATTCTCGCAATTTAGAAAAACTTAAGAGCAAGACGCCCATCTAGTGTTCTGTCCTTGTGGATATACTGTCACAACTGCCCGCTTTACGAGGGTATGGGGGGTTTGTTGCTTTGGGGGTTGATGGAGAGAAACTTGCTCAAGTTGTATGAAAGTGTAGATATATATTTTCCCAAATATGCCCTTACATATGCTAGTCCTATAGGATGTATGACCCCTTTCAAAACTGGGGTCCTTATAGGGAGCCACACGTCAACGCTGCTTGGGGGACTGTCGGTTAGTTATCGTCTCCTCATGCCTTGTCCAGAGGAGCTTTCCCAACGAGAGGTACCGGCGCTGGACATCGATAAGGCTGAAGATACCCAGAGGGGCTTTCCCAACGAGAGGTTCTTGCACTGGGAAGACTTGATTCCAGAGGGACTTTCCCAACGAGAGGTACTTGCACTGGTTCAAGTCTGGCCTCTGCTGCAACTCGTGGCGCAATTTATATTCGTATATTGCTTGTCTTGTCAATAGACCTGTGTTTTGTCGATTCGTAATAAACTCATTATTGAAATCATGTACAGTGTGTTATTTTCCCAAGCAGGCTCAGTGTTGACAATATGTTGAGGTTGTTCTGTGACTCTGTGATCTCGGTCCAAGGCCTTCTTACCGTTTCTCTTTCTTCTCTTCTGAGCTTAGGTTTGGAATCAGCCTCATTGTTTCATGCTACCTGATAGGAATCTCCCTTGAGAATTAAGCACTAAATCTGAGGGACTCTTGGTTGGAATGTTAGGCCAATCAGTGAACTCTCAGGACAAGAGATTTATATTTTCCCACACATAGTTGAAGGATTAATATATGTAGATCCAGCAATCCCATTTTTGTTGGAAATCTGTCACATCACATTGATGTTTGAAGATCAGGGAACAGTTTGGTTTCACTCATGTCCTGTGACTTGTGAGTCATCTATTGGTTGCTTTTGGGATCGAGTCTGGATTTGACAAAGGCGTTGGACAAGAACAAAAAATAAAACGCCCAATTTAACGAAAATATTATTATATTATTTCAATTATCAACACCAAATATCACAAGGCTTAAAGATATGCCCAATTAAAAAATAATTTATTATCAAAAGTTTTAGGCTTAGTGTTCTATGAAATTTGAAAATGGGGTTGTTTGATTCATCTAATACCTAGCCAGGAAAGTTAAGCAAAAAATGTATCATTCTTCAATTATTCATCCATTGCTAGATATTTCAATCATCAAGACAGAGAGACAGAGTAAGTAAAGATAAAATCAACTAAGAAATACCATTGACGTCAACACTGACAGAGAAGGAAAATTTCCTTTCCTCTAGGTCCCTTCCATTTTGAAGTCGGACAGACGATAATGCATGAGGTTCTTGTTAGCTGAAGAACCATTGACATCATCACTTACAGAGAAGGCAAATTTCCTTTTCTCTAGGTCCCTTCCATTTTGAAGTGACGATAAGGCGTGTGGTTCTTAGCTGATTTTATCTATACCTACTTACATAATTTGATTTGTAAAAAAGAATGGAACTTAGTTTAACCATAACCATAATAAACTCTGATAAAACCCAACAATATCACCCATTAATTGTAAATATCCATAATCCTATCCATTTTGCCCAATAAGAGATTTGTTTTGAGATTTCTGAAATATGCCAACTCTTGCTGGGCAAATAATATCTATTTTGTTTTGCAGTCCTGGACATTTTTAAACATTAATCTAAATCGTTGAATATGAGACACACAGAACTGAAATGCGATTTATTTAAAATCCTGACCATTAAAGACATATTAAATGACCTACCTTTAGTTGAAATGCCATTTATGTTCATGGGAATCTAACTTTGGTCCATTTTTTTCTTTTCATCTTCTTCATTCTCCTTGTCACTTTCGTGATTTTTTTCCGAAACATTTTTTGCATCTCTGGAAAATCCTGATGGGCCAGCTTCAAGACTATCTCTTAAAGCCATGTTTCCTTTGTGCGTTACAGAGTGCATTTGTGCCACTCCTTTACCTAATGTAATAAATGAAAAAAAAACTATTTAGTTACATATAAGTAGTTTGTATTACCGTGATATCAAACCAGTGAAGAAAAAGATGGCAAATGGCAACACAAAATAACAACATTGAAGCAACTTTATAAAGTTGTAAATGAAATGATATGTTAAATAAAAATGATCCTAAAGCCTAAAGCTAAAGTTTTGGCAAAAATGAGGTAGATATATCATTTATTCTTGAAGTAAATCTGATCTAAATTAACTGAATCGGCACATTCAAGAAAAAAAAAAACACAGAAACTAATTTATCCATTTCCCTTACCATCTGGAATATCTTCCATGGCAAGAACTAAGTAAAAATTTTTATCATATTTAGGTAAATGTTGATAGAAAAATTCTAGTATACACTAAGCACACATTAGTTGGACTGTTTTTATCAAGGTTTTTATCAATACTGGGTGTCTGGGAAAACTTGAAGTACATGGCGATTTTGGAAACCATTGAAGATACATGGTAGACCAGTTGATGAAAGATTATTTATAGACACTTGATTGCGCAACTTTTTCCCCATTTGGTCCATGCTGTATCTTCAATAATTTCCAAAATCCCCATGTAGGTACTTCAAGTTATTCTGGACACCCCCCGTATACTCATTCATAATGGTCTCACCTGCATTTTTAGCCGTATTTTTCAAAAGTCCTTTTGGCCTCAATATTTTCGTATTCTCATAAGTAGAAAACAAGTTACCCATTGTATTGAGCGAGCCTTCTGTAGTGTCAGCACAAGGACCACCCCACCTAGGAAAAAAGTCAAAATTTAGAATTCAAAAAACATTAATTTGAATACTTATGTTGCATTATTATTAATAAGGATGTGATTTTTTAAAGCCTGAAAGTTGTCCGTTTATTTTTATTATACTCAATAAAAGTGATAAAAAATCAATAACTTACTTGTGTTCCACAACTTTGACCGTATTCTCTTTTAAACTTGAACCTAAAATTCCTGCTGATGTCTCCAACCCCCTAAACAAAATTTACATTTAGAAAAACCAATCAACAGCTATTCAATATTAACCTATAAACAGTAGAAAATCCTTCTACGGCCCCTGCAGCAACAGTTAAGACACCCTTCATCCTTTCAGAAGCTTCTTCTTCTGACATATGGAATCCTGAAGCCAAAAGCTTGGTGCCTTGCTTTTGTATATGCGGAGCCAAAAACTGTCCTAAACGTAGCGTGCCTTCTCCAACTTTTTCAGCTAAAAAAACAAACAATTAACATATCTAAAAACCATAAACTCAGTACTCCTTTTACCTACAAATCCAGTGACTTTGGAAGCCTTAAAAGTAGCTTGTTCAGCTATTCTAACGCCTTTCGAAACAGATTTAGGTACTTCTTTTGGCTGATCTGCAGGTGCCAAATTGTCAATTAATTTTGGGGTTCCTCTATTTATAAGATCTCCAGCTTTTTGGGCACCCCTGACAAGGCCTTGGGACAATGACCAAGCACCGTTGACTATTTTATTTGATATCCTTGAGCTTGTTGTGTCTTCTCCTGCTAATCTTCTTCTCTTTTCTTGATGTATTTCCTGTTCAGTTTCTTGAGTGACTATTCCGTAAAGTATGCTTTCTAGAAGATCAAAAACGTCAGAGTCTGCATCGGAAGGTAGAATTATCCCCACAGATGATCCAGGTACGTCAGAGTAGACATTAGGCAAAATAAAAGCCCCATAATCTGTCCTGTAACAGGGCGAAACTCCTGGTACTAATGGATATATCCAAGTTCCTATTTGTAAAATAGCTCTTGGGGCATTGGGTGTAGAGCCTTCTACCAAAGAAATTTTTAGCAGTTGAGGTTCTTGAGAAGACACAACTTCACCATTAGGAGAAATAAAGTAGAGTTTCACTCCAGGGTGCGTGTAGACAAGTTCTTCATTTAAATTTTGGTTGGGATCTATGCTTAGCTCTTGAAGCGCTGTTGCTAAGTCTTTGTAAGTGACTCTTTGAAAGCCGGTGCTTTCATCTTAGAAGAAATCAATTATTTTATTTGAATTATGTTGATATTGAATAGTTACCTGAAGAGCTGACTGTACTCATAGCTTCTTCATAAGAAGGTGGTTCTTCAAAAGTAGATTCGAATCCAGGGGTTGATTGTATACAATTAATGCGCGTCAAAACTTCAGCGCGTGCTTTTTTAATTTTTTGTATCATAGAACATGCTTTTCTCCATGTATCGTCTGGATTATCAGGACATTGGACAGGGATTGCAAGGGCTTCGTCGATTAGTTGGATGCCTTCCTTATATTTTTCTATTGCCTAAAATTAAAATACAGAGAATTGTCACTAGATAAAAATGGAAACTAATGTTACATACTGCATGCAGTGGATATTGCATAGGTGGAAATTTTGAAATAATTAATTATTGTTACCTCATGTAGTCTCTCCTGTTCTTCAAGTGAAATAGCTTGATCAATAGTCCTAAAAGCCTGGTCGTGCTTATTTTTGATGGTCAAATAAGTCGAACTCCACATTAAAGATCCAGTATTATTCCCCATTTTGCATAACTTTTAAGTAAAGGATAACAAATCAATTATTCAAACAGCCTATTAAATATTATCAGTAGATTGATATGAGCTGTTTGATTGGTATAATCAAAGAAAGTACCTCTCTATAAAATTGGTTAAAAGAAAAGGCACTGAAATGACTGTCAGCTAACTATAATCTATTTTTACACAATAATATGGTCTAGAACACGTAATATTATGCTTGCCTGCTTAATCGAAAGTCCAATTATTGGTCAATTTTAATTACAAAATTTAATGGTTTTGTTTACACAATTTCACTTATGAATCACGAAATTCACAATCGCAAACATAAACAAAAAAAAATACATATTTCTAATAGGTGGCGCTAGCATCATTATCCTGTGTGTTCCTATATCCAATGTTTTTGCTCTTTCTGTTCCGAACCGTTCCTTTCTTGACTCCAGAGTAAATCGAATTATAAATTGTTAGGTCTGTTCGCAGAGAAATCACAAACCAGTCGGAGCAAATTTCATTGGTGGAAAACAGTCAGAAAACTACATAGTGTCAACCAATGAAATTCACTCTGACTGGAACAATGAACTATAATCAAGAACGGAAGAATCGTGTTTGGTTATAATTCATTGGACTGGAATCAGTGCAACAATCATTTGATACTCGCTCCAGAGTGTCGGTTCGAGCTGCACTAGGGCTATTTTTCTGGAATAGATTTTATATAATCCGAATCCGAATCCAAGAACACTCCGCCAAATAGGATTGCTCAGCTTGATAGGCATACGTTCGCCAATCTCGAGTCGGCAACTGGTCAGCGGGGGACGTCACCACTATCAGAAGCTGATAGTGGTGACGTCACTGTGTTTGTGAGTTAGGGCGAGTCCCCACGGGCGTGATGTTAAATCACGTGATTAGTTACGCTTACGTCAAATTACGCCCGTGAGGACTCTCCCTTAATCTTTTCGTCGATTTTAAATGTAGATGTATTTTACGTCAAAAATTGAGGTCTGCGACTGACATCACAAATAGTGAGTTGTCGCTTAGACATGGCAGACAATTTTCAGCTCAATAAGCAGTCCTATATTAAGTGTTCTAGATCCGAATCATATTCCGCGTGTTGCTAAATACAGCTGGTGTAGGCCAAGGAGAATAAACTTACTAAGGAGTGCTTATCGGCCCCTTTTTGGGTAATTGCCGCCATATTGGTTTTCAACTGTTTCCAACCACTGTTGACGTCATAACAAAGTCGCCAGCTGTTTGCGCCAGCGGTTTTATAAATTTATAATTTGTCATGAAAAATATTTTATTTTGATTTTGATTAACCATTATAGCGGGTAAAGGTACCCTATGCTATGATGGAACCAGTAGCGCGATATCTGGCTAGCTTTCGTCATTCCGCCTATTTACACGTTTTCAGCATGTATGATTTAATGGAGCCCTAGGAGAATTACGCGGCGTTTTGTTTACATTTCTTTATGTAAGTATAATAACTATAAGATAATTTATTCTATACTATTTATTTGTTTTTAGGGTTTTCTCATATTATTATAACATATTCCTATTCGAGCATAAATTGTTTGTTTATGTATTATATTCTTGTAAATATTACTGTCCCATATGGCATATGGCCCTGGGCAGAAGCTAACATTTTTAGCTGTACTTACATTTTGTTTGTGGAATTAGCCATCAGGAAGCTTTGAATACTGCTTATGATAATGAAACTGTTGATGGCATAATATATCGAGCCCACACAGAAAGCAAAGAGCTCACTGACTAAGATTCAGCAGATGAGGAACGTGGTTTTGCATTATCTACTAGGCAACTTTTGTGCTAGTGCAGAAATTGTTTATTCGAATGGGAAATATATCACAGGTAGAGTAGAATTAACAATTTTTTGGGAAATCATACAATTTTAACCTTATTTTTATTTTCAGACATACCCGAGGAAATATAAAGTACCACCTTGTGCTACAGGAGAATATGCTTCGGGCTGCAGCAAGTGATTTTTGAGTCAATAATGATATAAGGTATTATGGACTGCATCATTATTGAAACACTTTTCCTGAACGTAAAAAAAACGATGTGGTGGTCAAAACTGTAGCAGCCGAGGAAGAACAATGTGCTGCAAATGCAATATCGACTTATTTATTCACTGTTCTCGAAAGTTTCACACTGGGTAATAATTTTCACCCATAATGCTGCTCGTGATGATGCAGGCCAAAATTCATTATAATCTATTTCGTTTATCTGACCCGAAATGATTATATCTATACAACAGCCTAACCGGATCTTTTTCTTATATTTTTGTAAACTTTCTACAATAGGACATTGCCAAAAGGGTCTCAAGGCTGGTATGGATCTCCCTTATAATGTCTGTATTTGAATAACTTGTATGTGTAATAAATAAATAAACATTTTATAAATAACTCTTTATTTTTATTTATAAATAGGTGAAAATTAAATTAACAAAGTCAAATAACTTGACCACAAATCTGATTTTTACTCGAACTACCTATAATATAATACTGGTAATTAGGATTTAATAAACACTTTACACGTTCTGCTGTTTGCTCGGCCATTTGTATGCCTATCTGAGAAGAGTTTAATAATTGATTAAAAGTATAACTACATTCATTACTTGTATCAGTCTCGCTAGAATCTTGATTTCTTTTTCTTTCGGCAAGTTTTTCTGCACCCATGGAATCTATTTTTTGGCTCGGTTTATGGATCACTATAGAAGAGGGCAAATTCTGGGATGGTAGATGGTACAACTGTTTTTTTCAATATCCGACCTCTACCTGTACCTCTAAGGGTGGGTATTATAAAACTACTTTGAGAGTTAACTTAAAGTTAACTTCTGGAATTACATGTAATTCAAAAAGTTAACTTTAAGTTAACTGTCAAAGCAGTTTTATAATACCCGCCCTAAGACCTGTACTCTCACCTGTAAATAATAAAAACAGTCAATATTTTCAAACAAAACATTTTAAAAATAGATAGTACTTGATAAATGCCTAGAAGCAGGCCTAAAATGAAGCTAGGGCACAAAACTATCCATTATGCTTGTTTACCTTAACACAAAATTCTTGCTTAATTGAGATGCAGAGAATACACTTTCATGAATTTGGTGACTGGTTTGCCAATACGAAGTTTTAAAATCCAGAAGGCTTTTCTTCTCGACACTTCTTTTTCCATTTTCGTTTCCAAATAAACCCGTGGGCCTGTTTCAAGGGGAAATATGTAGAAACTCAATCCTTTGTCAGCTTTTTTTTTTAGCCCAAGACTTGCATTGAGGAACACAACAGTAATAATTAAAAGTCATGATTATATGTATCTGATATAATTTTATAATTTTAGACTTTAATTATACTAGAAACTAGTTCCATAATTTCCAGCCAGCAGCCAGATCATAACATAACCTGTGGGTGGTGCAAACAGCCTACCTCAAGACGAAAAACGCCATGATGTTTACGTCACAACTGATTTTTTGGCTTGGCGGGGAAGGGGGGGATTTGTTACACACAGGCCTTATGAGGATAAGCCATCCTTAGTAGTGTGTATCATCCTTGGGTGTAGGCAGCGTGGTGGAATGGTAGAAAGAGCAGTGTTAAATTAAACAGGATTGGGTAAGCTGCGGTTGGGAATTGGCATTAGTGAATCGCAATCACCACACCCGTGGCAGTGCAACATTTTGGTGAATTCAGCCACACGCGGATTATATATTCGGAGCCGCTTTCCAGTGACGAATTTCAAGGTACTCCTCACCCGTAGCTCGACACTCAGGGGCGCATTCACGATTCGACAACTCCGGTTTATATTCTACCTAAATTGGTAAATCTAGGCTGAGTTCGGCTTTGCAGTTTGCACTCCACGGAGCTGAACAGTATGAGCATGAATATCGTGACGTCATACGCGCTCATGAGCCCAACGCAAAAGAGAATACTCTGAGAGCTAACACGAAGAGGATCTTATCGTTTCGAGCGCGCTGAGAGTTTACAGTGTAAAGCCGAACTCAGCCTTACTCGAGTAGTGGGAAAGAGTTAACTGGGTTGAGAAACACCCCACCCAAGGTCAATTGTGACATTTGTTATCTCCTGTGTTTTATATTTTGATTTTGCATCACGTACATTCGTCGTACATTTCTTCATTTTCTTTGTGAATTGGATTTGTACCTATTTGATCAAGATCTGGCTACCTTTTTTAAAGACGTTGTGATGGTCTCAGAATTGAAAAAACACCATGAAACTATCGCGCATGTCGAGCAAATTTTACCTAGCCGATTGTGAATACTGGTGTTATTTTACCGGGTTAAAGCATCCCGATTCGTGAACGACTATCCGGACGTTGGAGCGCGCACGGAGCGCACCCGGATTGCGCCCGGGCGTCTATCGTGAATGCAGCCCTACTGGTGCTGCAAACACTCTGTTGTTCACTGAAACGCACCCTACTTTAAGGGTGGATTTTCATGCATCCGTTTGTCCGACGAAAGATGTCCGAAAAACATTCTATTCTAACATAATCGGATAAAAATATGTCAAAATAGATGATTTTTCGGACATATTTCGTCGGACAAACGGATGCATGAAAATCCACCCTAAGCATGTGATGCAGTTGCGAGAAATTGCAGGTGCTTGAGACGGCAGGGAAGAGGAAAAACGAACAGTTCAGGTGCGCGAATTTCTAATGCACTGAAACGCCTATGAACAGCCCGGGGCGCTCTAGAGCAGCTCAGGAGTGCTTAAACTGCGTCACTGAGAGCGACTGTGTAGATTGTTGTATGGGATTTACTAAAAATTATCGATCATATTACACTAGTTATTGTGGCGCCATCTATTATTGAGATATTAAACGTCAACAATGAAATTCGCCATTCAACATGACTAGGACTAGGATTCGCCTTCGCCATTAAAGATGTTAGAACAAAAACGCAATAAAGACGAGTACTCAGAAGATCGGAAATCTCCAAGGATATTACACACTACTACAAGATTGCCCATCGACCTCGATTTTTGGAATCAAGGTCATATGGTGTTGCACCATGGCAGACGTGGTTTGCTCATTGGAATCGATTTTCGGAATCAAGATCAAGGTCATATGGTGTTGCACCATTGCAGACTTCATTAACGGAGTCGTAAGCTGTTTTCGCCGTCGGCACGGACCTATAGGCAAAAAGGAAGATGCAAACGAGATCTATGAAAGGGTTGTTTCAGAATGTTAAATAAGTACTAAAACCAAAACCGTTTTCTCGCGTCCACTTTTTTGACATTGGTTCAAGCCTTGTTCAAGCCGATAGTGGTGACGTTACCTGCAGATCTTGAAAGATTGCTAGTGATTCCGGCTTTGCTTGTAAGTTTTCGTCGCTTTTGAACAAGAGCATTCCACCACAATTCAGGCAGGCGGCGCCTTGTAATAAGTTAATTTTCTTAAATGTGGGAAAGATGATTTTTAACGTTTAGGAATTCGTTCGGCATTTTACGCCAAGAGTTGCGGACTGCAACTCACGTCACAAATAGTAGGGAGTTGTCGCGTTGGAAATTGTCAGAAAATTGGTTGTTGGCGATTTGCACCAATCAAAAACGCTCTAACTGGTTTGTGATTTCTGTGAAAACAGAACTCTCGCGTCGATAAGTATTTCTTGGCTTAAACGGCTTAGGGCGGGTATCATAAAACTACTTTGAGAGTATTAACTTAAAGTTAACTTCTGGAATTACATGTAATTCAAAAAGTTAACTTCAAGTTGACTGTCAAAGCAGTTTTATAATACCCGCCCTTAAACTGACATTTTCTCATGTAAAAATTTCATTTTAAGGAATACTTATCGTAAAGGCTTCCTAAAAGTGATTGGTGGAAACGGCGATTAAACGATCTTAATTTGAAATCCCAATAGTAGAGGGAAGTTGAAATTTGACATCATCCAGGGCCCTTATTCTCGTTGAGGAATGCAGATACAGCGTTCTCATGAGAACGAAGTTTCTGTCTTTCTTCACTAGTCCGTATACGAATTTCGGGTTCTACTCACTTGGCTTTGCGCAGAATCGTGACGGTACCGGGTACGGCGTGTGTGTACGACTTGAACATTACGCCAAACAAAACAGAACAACGAACCGAATGACGATCGAAATAGTAATTTAGACAGACGAACGCGTTTCCAAACCGGTTATTCGCAAATCCTGGCTTTTTGGCGAACGGTTTGCGGCGCTTCCATTATATTATTTTCTTTGATCAGTTTGTTGTTCGGCGTAATGTTCAAGTCTGTACGAAGCTTTAGAATTTTCAAAGGTCATATGATGTTGTCAACGTCATCAACGGTGTGGTTAGCTGTTTGCGCCAGCGATTGTAAATTAGAATATGAATTTATGTTGAGAAATATATTTAATTTTGATTAATACAATAGGCAAAGAGGAAGATGCAGACGAGATACAAAAAGGGTTGTTTTCGGAATGTTAATTAAATGATCTAAAACGAAATTATCATAAAGCAAAAGCCAGCTTTATGTCAAAAACGACACGCTAACTACGTCATCACTGGTACTATGGCATGATAGCGGTGGGGGGCTTGAGATTTGAACTACACAGGCGTTATGAGGAGTATTCTTTGGGAGTGGGAGTACCTAATGAAATATAGATTGGCAATAGCTTTGGTTTCACTCAGAACTATACCATTTCCAGCATTATTTCACACTAGTGAAATTTGATTTCAAATTATTGAAAACTAAATTCACATCAGTGAAATCTAATTTCGCTCAAATGAAAATTGATTTCAAAGTAACGAAAACTAATTTCTCACAAACGAAATTTGATTTCACATTTTTGAAAATGAATTTCAAACTGACCCTATAATTAATAGTAATTTTTCAAACCTTTATTATTTTAATTTGAAAAAAACACTAACAAATGTTATTTATTTCACCCTAATGAAATAAACCCACTGAGTTCACCTAACATAAAATACAATGAAGGGGGTGATTCGTCGGTTAGGACAAAAAAAGAAACATAAAAGGCCTGTTAAGTCTTTGCCAACGTTTTGCCCAAAAGTTTAGGGCTTCATCAGGGCTAAAATAATATATATTAGGAACATCAAAAAAGTGCTAACAAAAAACTGAAGTTTACATGCCTTGTACCTACTTAAAAAATTATGTGGCTAGAATTACATAAAATAGTGCGAGGTGCGAGATTTTTCAGGATGGAACATTCATTCAATTGCACATAACAAAATCACAATACATTGATAAAATTGTAAAAAGACAAATTTTTTATTATTTTTTTGTCCTACCCGACGAATCACCCCCTTCATTGGATACCGATAGGACACGAACTACACTTAGATAAAATAGAATCATGAACAATTAACCATAATAGTTATAAATTATTTAAATAAATTGAACTTTAGTTGAATCTTCTCACTCTTAAGATAGCTGCATTATACCTTTCCACATGATTTGCCAAATTGAAGTTTAATTTATTTAAATAATTCATAATAATAGGCTCGTTCAGCATATTTTTTTTATTACATATTCTAAAAGAGCGTATTGAGTTTAGCAGTTGTGCAAAATTTCATAATTTTCCGAGCCCTTATTCATATTTAAATAAATTATCAAAAAGCTCCAAGTTTGGAAGTTTCGAAACACGCGGTGACGTCACTGCATCTCTCAAGTTGGTCGTGTGACGGCCTTTAGCCCGTCTTGACTCGAGAGATGACGTCATACCATCTCTAAGCGATGAATTTCTGAGGCATAATGTTTTATTATTCAAAGCCGCATAACTTTTTTAATATTTATCCAATTGCGCTGAATTTTTTTGTGTGTGCTATATGTGATTAATACTCCATAAAAATATCAAGAAACGTGGTTAATGGAACCTCACTGAACGAGCCTAACCACAGTTTTCTAAACTCAGTGGGTTTATTTCATTAGGTTGAAATAAATAACGTTGTTGATGTTTTTTTTTCAAATTGAAATAATAAATATTTGAAAAATAAGTATTAATTAGGGTCAGTTTGAAATTCATTTTCAAAAATGTGAAATCAAATTTCGTTTGTGAGAAATTAGTTTTCGTTACTTTGAAATCAATTTTCATTTGAGCGAAATTAGATTTCACTGATGTGAATTTAGTTTTCATAAATTTGAAATCAAATTTCACTAGTGTGAATTAATCCTGGAAATGGTATAGTTCAGAATCATTCTGCACACGCGCGTATTATAGAACGCGTTTTTAAGTTTCTTCGGAATCGAACGTGTCAGCTTAGCGTTTTGGTTTATCTAGAGCTATTTGAATAATTCTGGGATTGTTCTAGAACGGTTCTCTCAGTTCGTGCTCTGAAGGAGGAACTGTTTTGGAATTTTGTGATTTGCGGCGTGCATTTCGGTTCAGGAACTAGTATTAAGCCGCGTATCGATTACGCGAGTACCTGGTACTCATATAACCGCGAATTGCGGATTCTTATAGTATGCGGATTTTTTTCTAATGGTCGTTTATATTTAAATTTGAGAGGTTAAAATATATTCGACCAATAAAAAAAAATTCGCAAAATAAAAATCCTCATTTCGCGGTTATAAGTGGCATAAAACGTCAAATTGTCGAAGCAATGTCACTTGCGTGAAATTCGCTCTTTTTTGACATTGCTTCGACAATTTGACATTTTATGCGTGTATCAAACGTCAAATTTTCGAAGCAATTATGTCAAAAAAAGAGCGAATTTCGCGCGTGAGAATATGAGGCATTATGCCTCATTCTCGTGCGAAACTCGCTCTTTTTGCGTGAAATTCACTCTTTTTTGCATTGCTTCGACAATTTGACATTTTATGCGTGTATCAAACGTCAAATTTTCGAAGCATGTCAAAAAAGAGCGAATTTCGCGCAAGTGAGAATTAAGCTTAAAGCCTAGTACTAATAACTGCGAGATTCGCATTTTTTTGACATTGCGTTGACAATTTGACGTTTTATGCGTGTATCAAACGTCAAATTGTCAACACAATGTCAAAAAAATGCGAATTTCGCAGTTATGAGTACTAGGCTTTAGGCCGAGTGCCGCTTTTTACACTCTGTGAACTCTGAGCACGGTCGAAACGATAAGATCCTGTTCGTTTTAGCTCTCAGAGTGTTCTCTTTTGCGTTGGGCTTATGAGCGCGTATGGCGTCACGATATCCATGCTCATACTGTTCCGCTCCGTGGAGCGTAAAACCGAATTCAGCCTAGAAGTGGTTCATGTTAGAGCTAGTTCAGCTTCAGAGTTGATTCGGAGAAGCTGGAACCCATTCATAACATAAAATTTAGAATTGAGTTCTTGGAAGGACATTTGGACTGCGCATGCGAATAGCTCCGAATTTGAGCATTTGTGACGCGAACGGAGCGTATGGCGTTTGCGTTTCCAGTATTTCTATCTGTTTCTTCAACGGCTGAGAGAAAGACAAATAGATGAGAATTAACTCAGTGCTGTTCACGGATTACAATCATCTACTTGAAATTCAATCAATAAGGAGCAGAATCATCCGAAATCGCTTATCGAATTCTATAGGTTTGTTCCAACAATTCAGAAAACCAGAAAACCGTAGAATTCACAATCACAATTCTGCGCAAGACCTATCTGTGCGTAAAATCCTTTATCCGAAAAACCATTTCATGAGAAGATTTTTGACGTGTACAGAATACACGAATACAGATGAAACCCGGCAACGTTGTTCAAAAGTGATAGGGAAAAATCGTTATGCTCTTGCGCATTGACTTTTCTGCTCGAACATGTAGACAAATTTCGCAATTTTCGCAGCGCACTGCACATTCCGATCGTCGAGGATCCGCTCGTTCCAATCCGTCTTTTACCGACACTGTTCTGTGCTGTGGTAAGTCGGCTTTTCTCTATTTTAAAAAATTTGTGAGTAAAAATTTTCATCCATCGTTTTCCTGTTTAAAATTGCGTCATCGGGCCGAAATAACTGTGAAATTATCGTTTAGAAGGGCTCTAGTTTGCCGTTTTGTGAAACTCTCGCGAAGAAATTACGTAATTTCCATTGAAAACCCGGTCAAGAAGACGGACCTAGAATCTAGTCACCGAGGAATTCCTGACGGCCATTACGATTACGGTGTCCAAATTGTTACAAATTCTATCATCTTTCGAGTTGTCATAACCAGTGTCATTTACAAAATAACATCGGCGTAATCCTCCACACGAATTCAAAACCCTCAAAAAGGCGTATCCCAGTAATTTCACAGTTGAATTCGGCCCAGTTTTGTTACATAACTCGTATCATGAACTTTAGCTAGTCTAAAGTTTTTTGACAGTTCACTTTCAGATCTCGTTGAAGTAAAGTGTCCCCATTTTTTGGCTCTGTTTTAGGCTTCAAGACCCTCCGAAACTCAAATAAATTAAAAAACAAAGATGTTCTCCGCCGCCAGACTGATCGCCCCTGCTGCTAGAAGCGCTGTAAGTATCTTTTTTTTTGCTTATTTTTCAAACGCCCATCTTAACCCTTGGGTTACATAAGTTATTAGTCAAAGACTATATATTTTTTTGTTTCTAGGCTTTATTTTAGTAGTATTTTAATTCAATAAAAACCCTAGGACTACCCAATGTCTTATGTAAGGGATTTAAATTCAATTTTTTCAAGAAAAGTCACAGTTATGTAACAACTGTGTTATCTGCTTTCTAAGCCTTTGTAGATGCAGATGTAAGTACCTATTTATCCCTTTTCAACTTATTTGATTTCATTATTTGACCCACTATTGAACTTGTGACTTTGTACAGTTACATAATATGTCCTTGAATGTACCTTATTCTGCCATTTCTTGCTTCTTTACCACCTTAATTTACTATTTCATGGATCAACTATTTTTTATGCAAAATCATCAGGCAAGAAATTGGAGCCTTCATCAAAACTTTTTTAGTCCACCAATATTGAGGCCAATATTACTTTTTGACACTGCTAAACCCTCTATGTAGTTATGTGGTTGATTTTGCTTCAAATTTTGTTACTCGCCTTTTCTTCTGTATCTTTTCGTCCATTAGTTTGATTATTTTAGCTAGGTACTGTCATTTTTTCTTTTCTCATATTTATGTCTTGCATAATCTCAGCTACTTCCATTTCTTAGTCTCTAAAGATTTCCAATCTCTTCCTTCTTTGTATCTTCTTGCTCATTATTAACTTCCCAACTTATATCAGAGCATTGTATCAGAGAGATAGGGTTATCCAAGGAAGGCTTGATGTCCCTGCCCTTGAGAATTAGGAATGGAAAGGATTTATTACTGTTTCTAAGTTAATGGTGCAATTAATTAAATGAAAACTTGTCTTTGTTTGACGTTTAACTGCGGCATTTTCATTTCAATATGAATTTTTTCTTTTACAATAATCAGGGCATCAAAAACAAAAATGTGGTTACAAGATCAAAACTCATTATCAACGTCTTAGGGGGTGTGGAGTTTTCCTTGGATCACCCTGTATTTGAACTTTCCATTGTAACATATTTGGGGTTTTAGACAATTTAATTTTTTTTTTAAGGATTCCTGAAGATTTTTAGAGAGTTTTTTACTTCATATTATATTAACCAATCTAAACAAGCTTTTCATGTACAGGGTGAGTCACCATATTTTGACACCCACCCGCAGCCGTAATTACAGGTGATAGGTGAAAGGTGTAAATACAAAAGTTATAGCATTCCATCTGAACCGCCAGAATTTTCAATTAGATTAAACAAATAAGCAACACAAAGTGGAAAAATATGTCAATGTTCACTTTTTTCAAATGGAATGCCCTTTATTTTCTTTCAAATTCTTAAAGTTCTCGTTTTTCTGATTCAGATTATATAATATGTTAGTGTTTCTTTCGATAGTTTTGGAAATATCTGGAGTTTAGTTATTCAAAGAGAGTAGTTTTTTGAATAAATTTTACCTTGATTTACCTGGTACCTGTCGCAAAACATCGTGATACGTGAATAGATCTTTGAATAACTAAACTCCAGATATTTCTAAAATTATTGAAAGAAACATTAACATATTATATAATCTGAATCAGAAAAACGAGAACTTTAAGAATTTGAAAGAAAATAAAGTGCATTCCATTTAAAAAAAGTGAACATTGGCATATTTTTCCACTTTGTCTTGCTCATTTGATCAATTTAATTAAAAATTGTGGCGGTTCAGACAAAATGCTACAACTTTTGTATTTACACTTTTTACCTATCACCTGTAATTACGGCTGCAGGTGGGTGTCAAAATATAGTGACTCACCCTGTACTTATGGCAGTTGGCAGATCTATATTCTCTAGGCTATGCTATGAAACGCCCTAAATAGAGCTGCCAATGATATTCATTTTGAATATTACTGACTCTTAAATCACTGTATAGTTTCTCCAGAGATGATGAAAACAAGTTTTGACTATAAACTTTCTCTTGATTTGCTAGACAATTTTTCCAGAGAGAAAATAAGTCAAATTTTGCTTATTGTAGGTTCTTGATTCACTGGAATGGATTTCCTCGAATCTCCCTAGATTTCCTTCAGATTTTTCTTGAATCTTCCCAGATTTCTCCAAAACCTTCCAAGATTTCTCTGAAGAGCTTTGGATATCTCCTGCAGGGTGTATAGGGCCTCTGATTATATTTAAGCCCATACCTATTACCTATAGCCTTTATATACCATTTAAGATAGAAAAAAAAAATTATATACAAAACTTGAAAGTTTTTTTTCTATGTTATCTTTTAATGAGCAAATTGGCTTCAAGTATACACTATCGGACAAAAGTAAAAAAAGACATTCAACACAAAAACAAATATAGTTAAAAGCTTAATTAATAGTTGATAGGATATTCATTGTTGGTTGTGACTTTTAGGCATTGACGAGGGGTCAACCACTTCCCAAAATACGTGTACAGGGTGTTTTTATATATTGACACCCCACCTACAGCTTTACTTTAACAGGTAGGAGAAAGGTGTAAATACAAAAATTGTACAGTTTTGGCTAAATTTTTAGAATCCATGGTCAGAAATGTGAAATGTTGCATGGTTTCAGCTTTTTTCTAATGGTTCTTTATTTTTAAAGAGCACAATTTCTCGATTCCAAAACTATATAGTTTGTCTCCAACATATTTGGTTCTAGAAATTTTAAAACTACTATCAGAGAAACCAGGTACCTCCAATTTTACCTGTAGCTTTCACCTGCACAGGTAGAATGGTTCACTAACTAAATGTTTGACAGCCGAACGTAGTGAGGCCGACAATTTTAGACGAGCCACAAAAAGTGCTTTTCTCCGAATAAAACATGCGATTTTTTCCGCTAACGGTGTTCAAAGCGATAAAATCTAGGAAATTTCTGTGACGTCACAAAAAAGTAACCAAAATAATGACGTCTGTGAAGTCAAACTTCAACATTAAGAATTGAGGTTAAAAAAGTCATCATTTTTTGACATTTGCGGAAAAAATCAGTTAGTAGAAGAGTATGTATTTTTACAATTTTTGGAGGCGAATATATAAGAGACTGGTCAACCAAATATAGATAATACCTATATTTTTGGAATCGGGGCATTGTGCCCTTCAAGGAAATAGAACTCAATATAGGGCATCCTATTTGAAAAATGCTGAAAGCATGCAAAATTTCACATGTCTGACATTCAATTTTCATTTCTGAGCATGGATTCTAAAAACTTAGCCAAAACTGTACAACTTTTGTGTTTACACCTTTCTTCTACCTGTAAAGGTAAAGGCTGTAGGTGGGGTGTCAATATATAAAAAAAAAAACCCTGTACCGGGTGATTGTCTATATTTTGCACCCACACGTATCTCACCTGTTTGAAGAGATACCCAGAAATGTCAAATGTGAAAGTTGTAGGTAATATCAGAAAGTTTTCAATGATGTTAGTTGCAAGTATAGAGGGTATGTCACAAAAGTGTGGCGAAGCAAAGTTATACTTTTTCAAATGGAAAACCCCATATATTATTGTCGCATTGGATTAGCCTTCCAAACCTGATTCCAAATATACTATGGTTGAACCAAATCCAAGCGGCAGTAAATGACAAACTGGTCATTTTCATTACAACCTATCAAATGTCCTCCGTGCATGCGCACTTGTCCAGGTGAGGTGTTTCAACCAATAGTAAGGCTGGTTTTAGTTTACAATTTAGGTTATTTAATGTCATTTACTGCCGCTTGGATTTGGAAATGGTGTAGGTCTTTAGGTTTATTCCTAATAGTCTAGGAGAAAATAGGACAAAAAGGGGTTGAATAATTCCATTTTTATTGAAAAAGGTGAAGTATAGAGACCACCAGCAAAATATAAAGGTAATCATTCATGTAAGAAATCCATATTATTTCTTCAAAATGGCATAGTCAGAGGCTGGACTATGAGGAATAAACCTAAAAAAACCTAGTATATTTGGAATCAGGTTTGAAAGGCTAATCCAATGGGGCAATAATATATGGAACTTTCCATTTAAAAAAGTATAACTTTGCTTCGTCAAACTTTTGTGACATACCCTGTATACTCGTAACTAACATCATTGAAAACTTTCTGATATTCAGGCCTATGATATATCATTTTCTGTTATTTTAACAGCACCGTTAAGTTATCTGTCACTGTTTATTCTACACGTAAAAATAGAGACAGGTATAAATTTTGAGCTATAACACAACTGTTAAAATAACAGGAGAGGATACATCATAGGCCTGATTATCTACAACTTTCACTTTTGACATTTCTGGGTATCTCTTCAAACAGTTGAGATACTTGTGGGTGCAAAATACAGGGTGGGCCAATGGAAACTTTCCACCCTGATTTTTCGGCTTTCAAATGAAAATTTGAAAAAACGCTTGAACACGTCGGTTTTTGATTTGAGGGGGAACCATTTTTCAGTTTTTTTCATCCCCGTAGCTTTAACCCCCTAGCTGGGGGGAACAACCCCCAAATTTGAATAGGGGATAGGCTTGTGTCATACCTCCTTTTAAAGGTCTCATCGAGTAGGAATAAAATCGATACCTACCTGCCTTAATAAAAATACTTACCATTAAAGTTTTTTTATTATTATTAATAATTATCAATTATTATTATTAATTATTAAACATAATAAAACAACTTTAATTGCAAGTATTGCTTGCTACTCCTACTAAAATAATGGTCTATTTCCAAGATTTTGACAAGCTGTCATTTCGTTACGGATGGAAATAATAAGACGAAATTCTAGAGTCATAAAGAACTCGAAGATACCTTTGAAAAGAGGTATCACACAACCCCTATCCCCTATTAAAATTTGAGGGGTTGTTCTCCCCCCAGTTAGGGGGTTGAAGTTACAGGGATGAAAAAAACTGAAAAATAGTTCACCCTCAAATCAAAAGTCGACGTGTCCAAGCGTTTTTCTAGATTTTCATTTCAAATCCAAAAAATCGGCGTGGAAAGTTTCCATTGGCCCACCCTGTATAGACAATCACCCAGTACACTTGGTCCAAATTACCTCCGAAAAACTTTCAAGTACCCAGAAATACCATGAAGTATAATACATTGAAATACCAGATATTCCCGTCGAAGTACGCAAAATTCCATGAAAATACCTTCAAATTACTGAGCAAAGTCCCACAATACTAAAAAAATATCTTGTTGATAACGAGTCTTCTTGTGGGTCGCGATATAGTTATTTTCCTAACAAGTGCTCAAAGTGTTACTTTTCCGCACGCAAACACAGTTATACGAACGACGCGAAGCGGAGTTCGGATAAGTGTTTGTGTGCGGAAAAGACACTTTGCGCACGTGTTAGGAACAAAATTTTTCCTAAGAGCTTCATATCAGGCAGGTAACAACAAAAATTTAAAATAAAACGATAATTTGTTCAATTTTTCCAATTAACTTGAAGCAAACCTATTCATTCATCAAAAAATTACATACCTAACAAAAAATTGAAATCCTCGTCGAAGCTTTTCATCTTAAAGCGTTTAAATTTGATGCGAAAGAAGTTTGTAGATTCTTGCATGTAAATGGAGAACACAAATCTGATGTGTCAAAGTTAATTATATTCAGTGTTTGTATACATAGATGTTGACTGATATAGAAACAGAGGAAAAATTTGTCATCATGTGTCAAAGTCGACAGGTGCACTTATTGTTGCTTGACAATTATTTTTTTTCCGAATGACAGTAAAAGCGGCCTTTAAATGACACTTGACAGAATCAAAAGAAAAGTGAACTTTTACTGCCTAGGCATTAAAAGTGACAGTGTCACAACGTTCCAGGTAATGATTTCACTCAATTTGGTATTTGAAATTGATGGTGACAATGACAATTGTCATTATAATTTAATTATTTGGATAATAATAATGAATGAAATAAATATAAAAAAGATGTCCATGTGTGAATTTGAACATTCGGAGAAAAAATTATATGTTTTACATGGCAGAAAAGCAGATTTAATGCCTCGGCTGGTTTCCTAGCCTTTGGCTATGCCTTGGCTATGCCTTGGCTATGCCTCGGCTATGCCTCGGCTATGAAACACCAGCCGCGGCATTAAATCTTGTAATTTTCTGCCTAGTAAAACAAATAACTATTACTTTTCAGCGTTCAGCACTCAGTGCGGCTAAGGCCCGTATCCGCACTGAGTGCAGAAAAGTGTAACTTTGAGAAGGGTAATACGTGTATTTTCCTAACAAGTGCGCAAAGTGATACTTTCCCGCACGAAAAAGCAGTTAGACGAACGACGCGAAGCGGAGTTCGGATAAGCTTTGAGTGCGGGAAAGACACTTTGCGCAAGTGTTAGGAACAATATTTTTTCTACAAGTATCTTAAAAAAGTAGACTTTGAATTGTTAAAATATTAGAAAAATCAATCAAATCAAAATCTTCAAAAATCGTTTAAAATCTATTGGAATTCCTCAGAATTAATGTCTTTTAAATTAAATCCCCAAATATCTTTTCACATCTTCTTGAATTTCTAGAATCAGCAAGAATATTTTCATGAGAGTCTCTTAAATATCAAAAATTTTACAAATTCCTAGCAGTACAGGCTGGTCCAATTTGGACACCTTTGATAGGAAACATCATGTTAACTAAGCGTTAATTTCAACTAAAACCCTTCATTTTGAATATTAGTTTATTCAGAAACCATCAAAACATTGAAAAATCAAGTATAACTATGGTAATTATGCGTAACAAAAATGAGTGCGCGAAGAGTTTCTGTGCGCAAAATTCAACTTTGCGCACGCAAATGAGTGTGCAAAGTGATTACTTCGCGCACGCAAGTAGAAAATAGTTTTTTTCCTAACAAGTGCGCAAAGTGATACTTTCCCGCACGAAAAAGCAGTTAGACAAACGACGCGAAGCGGAGTTCGGATAAGCTTTGAGTGCGGGAAAGTCACTTTGCGCAAGTGTTAGGAACAATATTTTTTCTACAAGTATCTTAAAAAAGTAGACTTTGAATTGTTAAAATATTAGAAAACTCAATCAAATCAAAATCTTCAAAAATTGTTTAAAATCTATTGGAATTCCTCAGAATGTCTTTTAAATTAAATCCCCAAATATCTTTTCACATTTTCTTGAATTTCTAGAATCAGCAAGAATATTTTCATGAGAGTCTCTTAAATATCAAAAATTTTACAAATTCCTAGCAGTACAGGCTGGTCCAATTTGGACACCTTTGATAGGAAACATCATGTTAACTAAGCGTTAATTTCAACTAAAACCCTTCATTTTGAATATTAGTTTATTCAGAAACCATCAAAACATTGAAAAATCAAGTATAACTATGGTAATTATGTGTAACAAAAATGAGTGCGCGAAGAGTTTCCGTGCGCAAAATTCAACTTTGCGCACGCAAATGAGTGTGCAAAGTGATTACTTCGCGCACGCAAGTAGAAAAAAGAATTTTTGCTAGGATTTTTGTGTTTTTTCATATAATGGGTTTTATTTGGAGGACACGCAGGATTTAGACAATTAAATCAATAGTTAGTGATGCAGTTGAATGTTCTACAAAGCTGTTAGGTACCTACTATTAACTGACATTGATTAGTTATACATAATAGGAATATCTTTCCATTTGTTTCAATTAGTTTACAGTAAATCCAAATTATGTTAACATGCTTACGGCCATTTGAACCGCTATAACTTAAGGGATATTCAATCCAAGTGCAGCTTTGAATGTGAATCTCGTAGAAACAAAAGTCACATTCAAAAGCTCCACTTAAATTAAATATCCCTTAAGTGGTGCAAATGGCCATTAGCCTGTCTGCGAGGGGGATTTTGCTGAGGATTTTTTTTCAATATTCAGGTATTGCAAAGTATTGTGAGAGTATTGTTGACTATTGAAACATATTGCCGAATGTTTCTAGGTATTGCAAACCATTGTGATTATTGCGACCCTTTGCAAGTTATTGCAGTACATAGGTATTCCCTATTTCTTCAAACTTCTATGTTTTTTTTTTTTTTAATTATTTGAATCTTTATGAGCTTTCTAATCAAATGGATGAGATCTTAGAAACGTCACTTTACTTCTCCTGTTGTCTGTATGCAATACTTTTCCGATTTTCCACACAGTAACATAACATAATATACTGCATAGTAATATTCAGGTTGAAACCGCGAAAGTCTGTCCATTGAAAGTCGTCCTGATCAGTGATCAGCAGTATTTTTAAAAAGTTTCCATTGTTCGTATCTGTTACCTGAGCATTGTAATCTTTAGCATTGAAGTCTACCCTGTCCACATCATGTTTTAGAAAGTTAAGCTCCTCTCATTATTTATCTGCCATTACAAATTCATCATCAGTTTCCTCCTGAATAGCCTTCAGTCTAATTGAGTTCATCTATGTTAAAATTGTCTTTAAGTTCCAAGTCGCCGTCATATCGGTGTCATACCATTTCGGACATCATAAATAATTCGTCAGCTGTTTAAACAGCCTACGTCAAGGCGGAAAATAACATGCAGCCTACGTCTCACAACTGGTATTTTGGGAAGGGGGGGATCTGTTACACACAGGCCTTATGAGGATAGGCCATCCTGTAGTAGTAGTGTGTTATCATCCTTGGTCAAGTTCAGAGTCAATTATTGTTTATGGGATAGTAGATCCGTCAAAACAGTCAACAGTCCATGGCAACTTTGACAGTGAATATCTCGAGAACTAATAATTCGATTTTGAAAAAAAAAATACGCAGTTGTGATGAGAATCAAAATACCTTCAAAACAAGGTATCACTCGACCCATCTTCCCTATCTGAAAAAGAGGGTTGAAAGGTGTAGCCTAGCGAAATACCGATGGGGTCAAAAACTTTGAATACAAAATTGACATGTCTGAGCGTTTTTTTTTTTTGAATCAACCTTGAAATACACCAAATCGCCTCTGTTTCGATGTTCGTGAAACACCCTGTATATTGTGGCCAGTGAAATCCCCCTCATTAGCTTGTTCAAAGATGGACTATAATTTTCATTCTATAGCATTATTTCAATTTTAGGTGATGAAGAGTTAACTGTTCTAAAAAAAAACTCTTAAATAGCTTCAAATACCTCGGGTTTCCGCGAAATATGTACTACATGCAATAAATATCCTCGAATTACTACGCAATACCATGAAAAACTAGGTAAGAATTAAGAATTACCATCGAAATACTTTAAATTTCGCGAAATACCTACTTGAATGGTTGACCCCTCGGGCATTGATAACATTACATTTCAGATAGTGACAATGGGCGTATTGGTCCAAACCTCGTTGATTTCGATTTTATCAATTAAAAACTGTTTTCATGGAAATGTTGGTTTGAGCTTTAACTTCTTTCCACAGGTTCTCGATAGGCCAACTAAGCCAACATGACAATGCTACATATCTTTGATTTTTGGGAAGCATGGAGCATTGTCATGGCTGCTTAATTGGTAAAGCAATGAGGATTCGAATCCCGCCCAGGGCCCAAATTTTTCAATCCTTCAATTTTCCTCTAACTTTTCTTCAATTAATTTTCATCGCTTTTTGCTTAAGTAACCGACAAAAATAATGTCCATTTCAGTTCTAGTTAAGACTAGTTGGACTAATTGTTACTATAATCTGTTCCTTTGATCACCAAGACATGATTGGTAAATTGGTAAAATTGATTTGTTAGGGACAATGATACTAATGATAGTGACTGGAATGAACAATTAGACAAGTCTTATTAATTTCTTTTCTGGAAGGATACAAACATTTTGAGCCGCTTACTATTAAAATTCAAAATTACCTTCATACTTCAAAATGATTCTTACATGATGATATCTATATTATGCCTTATTGATTATTCAATGATATTTCAACTTCCTTGGATGTCTGATATATATTTTTTTTAAGAAACAAAACAATCCAATTATAGTTCTGAAACTCAATAGTATTAAATTATATTTCCAGATCCTTAACAACTCTAAACAATACCTTAGGCCATTGAGCAGTGCCGTCAGCCAGAGCCAGTCTTTGGTACAGACTGTACAACAACAAAAACAGGTAAGAACTTAATTTGAAATAATAATTTTATTAAAAAACTATTTCCATGATGATAATATTTTATATGCCTTTGATTGTTCTATGATCAGCAACTTCCTTGGATGTCTGAAAATTGATTTTAATTCTAACTCCAATAATTAAGTATAATAAGGACATTTATTGAATACATAATTTATTTCCAGGCTAGTCTTTTGCCCGCCATTCGTGGTTTCCAGACCAGCCCTGTAACAAAAGACATTGACTCCGCCGCTAAATTTATTGGTGCAGGAGCTGCCACTGTAGGAGTAGCTGGTTCTGGTAAGCTTGTTCGAAACACTAGCATGGCTTGACTTACATTTGTGTAGATTCCCTTTTGGTCACTTAACAAATTTTGCTACTCACTCAAAGGCTTAAATAAAATTTTAGGTGTTGGAATAGGAATGGTGTTTGGAGCCCTCATTGTCGGTTATGCCAGAAATCCGTCCTTAAAACAACAACTGTTTTCATACGCCATTTTGGGTTTTGCTTTGTCAGAAGCTATGGGACTTTTTTGTCTCATGATTGCCTTCTTAATGTTGTTTGCGCTTTAGATTAACATATTCATCAGAAAAGTATACTTTAAAGTTAACTGACTGTCAAATCTTAGTTTATTTTTGTATATTATATTTTGTCAGTTAATTTTAAACTAAAAATTAGGTGTTAGATATAAGAATTAACCAAGGCGGTCATTTTATCTTTTGTAAATAAAAGCATTTAATTTTATTGGATTGTGTATTGCCTTCTATGTTCCATTTGTCTTGTGTATTTCTAATTGAATGTTAGATGCATTTGGTTTGTGCTTTGCAAACTAGTACTTATTTTTATTAATATAGTTTTAGTTTATAATAAGGTAAGAATTTCCTTTATTTTTTCTAACTTTTTGTTTTCTTTTTGTTTGTAATAATTACAAAATTTCTTTATTGTTGATTTTACAAAAGATATTTTTTATTTTTCAGGTGCTGGTATTGGAACAGTATTCGGTTCCCTAATCATCGGTTATGCTAGAAACCCAAGCCTAAAACAACAACTTTTCTCATATGCCATCTTGGGTTTCGCCTTGTCTGAAGCCATGGGTCTTTTCTGTCTTATGATGGCCTTTTTGTTATTGTTCGCCTTCTAAGAAGGGCTCTATTATTATCTAATAATAAATTTATATGTTAAAACGTACCATCGTAAATCATTTTTTTTACAGTTTGTGTCCTTTATATTGCGCTAGACGTTTTTTCTAACGTGGTATAAATGCCACTTTCTCTTTTCATTAAGACTTTATAATAATTATTAGAACAATCTAGGACAATTATATGATTTAAAATCTCGTCAAGAGACTTTGGGCTTACTATTTATTAATTAAATCATATATTTGTTTCTTGTTTTTTTAGTAGTTTCCGACATATTTGGAGCTGAAAAAAAAAAGTAAATATCGGCCGTGGCAACATATTAGATCAGAGTCAAAAAATGATACATATTGTACAGACCATCAGAAAATAGAGATGTCAATAAAAACATTTAGTTGTGATTTTTTTCAATGTATGTTAGTTATTTTATATCCTTTATCCTTTTTTTCACTCATATTACAGAGCATAATGTTTAGGTGTACTTCAATAAAATTGTTTTTTTGATTTTATAGACAAGGCCTTATTTTTCTACACCCTTTGCACTTTGACTTCAATACTTAGCATGCATTTTTCGGTGTTGGGCTCAAAAACTAAACTTATAAACGTCAAGTAATAGGGAATAGAAATTCAGAATTTTGTCTTAGCAAGCAAGTGGAATTTAGAATCTTGTGTAGTCGAGAGAACTTGCAGGCACTGGCAAGAGGGTATTTGTGCAAAGATGTTTGGGAGAAAAGTCTCAAAGTTTCAAATATAATATTTTTTTAGGATTTCTAGCAATTAGGCAATTCAATCCATCTGTCAAAACGAAAAATTCAATATGGCGTGGCGGCCAGCAAGTTCTTTTCGAACACGTATTTTCATGCATATTTCAATTATTTTGCTTCGAGTTGTGCTTGCAGCTTATTATTCAATACAATATATGTTTACTAGGAACGTAAACTATTAGTCGGACAGAAACTAGATATTTTTTTGTGTTTTTTGGTCCATGTGTGGCCGCCACGCTATCTTGAATGTCACGTGGTTTGAATTGCCTAATATCTTGGTCAAAATTAACTTATAAAAGTACTCTCTGTCCTGACCAGGTGTAAGTATTGATTGTACTTTGCTCGGAACTTATCCTTGTTTCGTGATCATTATTACATCAGTTTGCTCGTTGCTGGCATATTGGCAACAATTTCACGTCAAATAATTAGGATTTTCAAGTTGTATGGTGATACATCATTAGATAATCGTACACATATTTCAGATGCCTATTATGAAAAAAATAAATGAATGAAATTGTTGATAGCTTTTCATTTATGTATGAAACACATTGACATTCAACAGCAGAGATGGTCAAATTATGCAGTCAAAGTGAAAATATGCTTTATTGTTGTGAACAAGTAATAGTTATAAACAAAGCTTACCTAAACTTGAATGTAGCATTATCCAAAATGAAAAACAAAAGACCAGGAAGAAGCATAGTTTTTCGACCATTGCATTGGTAAGAACTTAATGCCAGAAAATTAGACAAGAGTTTTGTATCATCTACAAATTGATTTAATTCTTCCCACACGATGATCCATATGGATTCTTCATGTCAAAGAAAGCTTCTTGTGAACTTTGTATATTTTCTTGCATTTAAGAACAATAATATCTATATAACAAAATTAAAAGCGATTTTCCCAAGTAAAATTACTAACATTTCCACTGTTGGTGGTGTAACCTTTGATTAGGATTTCAGGTATAAATCAAGATAAAAATTTCCATTAGGCAATCCAAACCACGTGACATTCACGATGGCGTGGCAGTCACACATGGATCAAAAAACACAAAAAAATATCTAGTTTCTGTCAGACTTAGGCGCAGTTGTACAATCTTCGTTCAACACAGAGTTCAGCTGAACTCGACTGGTACTTTCCCCATTTGAAATACATTGCCGTCAAAATTGATAGAATTTGATTAATAGCTGACAGCAATGTATTTTAAATGAGAAAGCTGAAGTACCAGTCGAGTTCAGTTGAACCTTGTTTTGAACCGAGATTGTACTACTGGGCCTTAAGCAATTTGGAGTGATTTATCAATTTTTCAATTTTTCTGAGTGCATGTTTTCATAGATTTCGGCTTCAAATCTGGGAATAACTTGCTGTGTGGAGTTCGGGGAATCCCAAGTGATCATTAAAAGACAAAATCTCAACATACAAAAAATTGAAATTTCATAGTTTTAGTAAGATTATGATTTAGATTTTGGAAAACTTTGAAAGGTCATAACTTTTTTCTATCACAGATAGAAAGCTGAAATTTTCAGTGATTCTTATTTCAGTAGAGGACTTCCATCCCTGCAAAAATTCAACTCATTTGGACTTATAGTTCCTGAGATAAAATCATGTTAAGCAATTTGGGGTGATTTATCAATTTCAATTTTTGTGAGTGCCTTTTTTCATAGATTTCGGCATCAAATCTGGCAATATCTTAGTGTATGGAGTTCGAGAAATATCAAATGACCAATAGGTCATAAAATCTCAACATTTTTTTTTTTTTAATTTTATAGTTTTAGTAAGAAGCTACCTTATGATTTAAATATTGGAAAACTTTGAAAGGTCGTAACTTTTTTTCTATTATAGACTCACCGACATAAAATTCGGGACAACCAAAATTTAGATCAAATTTGATGTAGGATAACTTTTTCTTCCAAAGTTCGATTCCAATATTTTTTTTTTTCATAATGTAGATAATTGTTTTGGTTTTAATTAATTATATTCAATTTTCAAAAATACAGTTTACATGTTGGAATATACCAGGAAAATAAAAAAGTATATTTTTTTCTCTTAACTTTGTAACACTCTGTAGAGTAATTTTGCGAAGTAAGCTACACTGGATATGCTTTTCTGGAGAGTTTGATCCATTTTCAACATTTTGCTGTTTTATTGGTTTTGGTATCTTTATCCGTTTGGGAGATATGAATTTTTGAAATAAACATTACACTTTTTGATCAAGTCTAAATTTTTGAAATAAACCTTACACTTTTTGATCAAGTCTATTTTTAATTGAAGCATGAAAGTAGGGGTTTTAAAAGTTAGTACCTCGTGTTACCTCCTGTTGCTCTTATAACAGCTACTATACGTCGATTCATTCCTCTAATCAGGTTTTGGATATCCTGTTGTGGAATAGCAGCCCATTCTTCTTCCAAAGCATTTCGGAGCTGTTGGAGAGTGAACAACTGTCCTCGGCGTTTCCTAATTCGTCTATCTAACATGTCCCATCTCATACATGTTCTATAAGATTAATGTCAGGACTACGAGCGGGCCAGCGCATAACGTTCATTCCAACCTCTTCTAAATATTGGGTCACTATTCTGGCAGTATGTGGTCGGGCATTGTCATGCATCAAAACGAATTCGTTGCCGATAAATTGTGCAAAAACAACAACATGTTCTCCCAGAATTTCGTCAATGTACCTCGGGGCAAATAAATTTCCTCGGTCAATAAAAACAAGTTCTGTTCGAGCATCAAACGAAAAACCGCCCCATACCATTATCGATCCACCACCAAAGCTAACCCTTTCGCTAAAAGTACATTGGGCGAATCTCTCCCCTTGTCATCTCCATACTCTTTCTCGTCCATCAGGAGACCTCAGGCAAAATCGAGACTCGTCTGAAAATAGAACTTGCCTCCATTCTTGAAGGACTTGATCAAAAAGTGTAAGGTTTATTTCAAAAATTTAGACTTGATCAAAAAGTGTAATGTTTATTTCAAAAATTCATATCTCCCAAACCGATAAAGATACCAAGACCGATAAAACAGCAAAATGTTGAAAATGGATAAAACTCTCCAGAAAAGCATATCCAATGTAGCTTTCTTCGCAAAATTACTCTACAGAGTGTTACAAAGTTAAGAGAAAAAATATACTTTTTTATTTTCCTGGTATATTCCAACATATAAACTGTATTTTTGAAAATTGAATAAAATTAATTAAAACCAAAACAATTATCTACATTATGAAAAAAAAAAAGATTGAAATCGGACTATGGAAGAAAAAGTTATCCTACATCAAATTTGATCTAAATTTTGATTGTCCCGAATTTTCTGTCGGTGAGTGTAGTATAGATAGGAAGCTGAAATTTTCAGCGATTCTTATTCCAGTAGAGGACTACATTCCCTGGAAATTTCAACTCATTTGGACTTATAGTTCCTGAGATAAAATTGTGTTAAGCAATTTAGGGTGATTTATCAATTTTTCAATTTTTCTGAGTGCCTTTTTTCATAGATTTTGGCATCAAATCTGGGAATATCTTAGTGTATGGAGTTCGAGGGATATCAAATGACCATTAGGACACAAAATCCCAACAAATTTTTTTTTTAAATTTTATCGTTTTAGTAAGAAGGTCTTATGATTTAGATATTGGAAAACTTTGAATAGTTCTAACTTTTTTTCTATTATAGATAGAAAGCTGAAATTTTCAGCGATTCTTATTCCAGTAGAGGACTACATTCCCTGGAAATTTCAACTCTTTTGGGAATTATAGTTCCTGAGATAACATCGTGTTAAGCAATTTGGGGTGATTTATCAATTTTTCAATTTTTCTGAGTGCCTTTTTTCATAGATTTCGGCATCAAATCTGGGAATATTTTAGTGTATGGAGTTCGAGAGATATCAAATGACCATTAGGACACAAAATCTCTACAAAAAAAATTTTGAAATTTTATCGTTTTAGTAAGAAGGTAGCTATCTTATTATTTAGATATTGGAAAACTTTGAAAGGTCATAGCTTTTTTTCTATTACAGATAGAAAGCTGAAATTTTTGGCGATTCTTATTCCAGTAGAGGACTACATTCCCTGGAAATTTCAACTCATTTGGACTTATAGTTCCTGAGATAAAATCGTGTTAAGCAATTTGGGGTGATTTATCAATTTTTCAATTTTTCTGAGTGCCTTTTTTCATAGATTTCGGCATCAAATCTGGGAATATTTTAGTGTATGGAGTTCGAGGGATATCAAATGACCCTTAGGACACAAAATCTCAACAACAAAAAAATTTGAAATTTTATCGTTTTAGTAATAAGCTACCTTATGATTTAAATTTTGGAAAATTTTGAAGGGTCATAACTTTTTTTCTATTATAGATAGAAAGCTGAAATTTTCAGCGATTCTTATTCCAGTAGAGGACTAAATTCTCTGGCAATTTCAACTCATTTGGACTTATAGTTCCTGAGATAAAATCGTGTTAAGCAATTTGGGGTGATTTATCAATTTTTCAATTTTTCTGAGTGCCTTTTTTCATAGATTTCGGCATCTGATCTGGGAATATCCTAGTGTATGGAGTTCGAGGGATATCAAATGACCATTAAGACACAAAATCTCAACAAAAAAAAAATTGAAATTTTATCGTTTTAGTGAGAAGGTAGCTAGCTACCTTATGATTTAGATTTTGGAAAACTTTGAAAGGTCATAACTTTTTTTCTATTATAGATAGAAAGCTGAAATTTTCAGCGATTCTTATTCCAGTAGAGTACTACATTCCCTGGAAATTTCAACTCATTTCGACTGAGATAAAATCGTGTTAAGCAATTTGGGGTGATTTATGAATTTTTTCAATTTTTCTGAGTGCCTTTTTTCATAGATTTCGGCATCAAATCTGGGAATATCTTAGTGCATGGAGTTCGAGGGATATCAAATGACCAATAGGACACAAAATCTCAACAAACAAAAAAAAATTGAAATTTTATCGTTTTAGTAATAAGCTACCTTTTGATTTAGATTTTGGAAAAGTTTGAAAGGTCATAACTTTTTGTCTATTATAGATAGAAAGCTGTAATTTCCAGCGATTCTTATTTCAGTAGAGGACTACATTCTCTGAAAATTTCAACTCATTTCGACTTATAGTTCCTGAGATAAAATCGTATTAAGCAATTTGGGGTGATTTATCAATTTTTCAATTATCCTGAGTGCCTTTTTTCATAGATTTCGGCTCAAATCTGGGAGTAACTTGGTGTATGGAGTTCGGGGAATCCCTAGTGATCATTAGGACACAAAATCTCAAGAAAAAAAATTGAAATTTCATCGTTTTTGTAAGAAGGCTACTTTGGGATTTAGCTACCTACCTTATGATTTAGATTGTGGAAATGTTTGCAAAGTCATAACTTTTTGTCTATTAAGTATAAATAGATAGAAAGCTGAAATTTTCAGCGATTTTTATTCCAGTAGAGGACTACATCGTCTGACAATTTCAATCTGGCTCCAAATCTCAGAATAATTTAGTGTATGGAGTTCGGGGGATCCCAAAATCTCAACAAAAAAAAAAATTGTAATTTCATCGTTTTAGTCAGAAGGTTACTTTATGATTTAGATTTTGGTAAACTTTGAAAAGACGTATGTAACTTTTTTTCTAAGATCGGTAGAGTTTCAGGGTACTTATGGCCCCTATAAGTTGAAAATGTTATAGAACTTGCTCTTGTTTGAGTTTTTATTGTTTTTGTAATTGTTTGCTATCAACTACTACATCCATCTCTTGATAGGTGATTGATTAGTACTTTATGTATTAACATCGTGTCTTTTTTTTCCAAAATCGGTATGGTTTCAGGATACTTATGGCCCTTATAAGTTGAAAAAGTTATAAAATTTGCTCCAAATTGAGTTTTTATTGGTTTTGTGATTGTTTGCGATCGACTACCACATTCATCTCTTGACACGTGTTTAGTACTTTATGTATCAACTTTGTGTCTTTTTTTTCCAAAATCGGTACGGTTTCAGGATACTTCTGGCCCTTATAAGTTGAAAATGTTATAGAATTTGCTCCAAATTGAGTTTTCATTGTTTTTGTAAACGAATTTTCTCTGTTCAGAGGTATTCCGAAGAAAACAATTCAAGAGACAAACATTTAGACAGAAAAATTAGAGAATTGGAAAGCAGAAATTTAGGTTAAATGCACCAGAAAGAAGCATAGTTATTCGACCATTGCATTGGTAAGAACTTAATGCCAGATGATTAGACAAGACCAGAGTTTTGGATCATCCAGTGGCGGCTCGTGACAATCCAAACTGGTGAGGCCCATGGCCCATCAAGTTAACCCAAACAAACCCAAGCAAAATTTTCAAGTGTTACGCCCAAATTTTGACCCAAAATTTCATTAAAAGAACATCTTGGATATTTTTTTTTTTATATTTCTAATGAAAATTTTCATTTCTTACAGTTGCAAAACAACAGCAGTAGGTACATAATTCTTATTTTAATACAAATATTGAGTTTCAAATTAACAAAATAAATTCCAAAAAACAGTTTTTTAACCCGCAACAGACCAAAATAAAAAGTATGAGCCAAATTAACCAATTAAATACTTGTCGCAGCAGCAAAAGATGCAAGGTTTCTTATTAACAAGCCCAAAATTGTGCGCCTCAATGTCTATAAAAATTCGCTATCGTCTCACCTACAGTTGAAGGGTTGTGGTGGGGAGTGCCGTGGCATCGCTTCGGCGTTCTTTGACGCACATGAGGCCAAAATTTTTAGGATTGCTATTTTATTTTAATACTGTCCGGCAACGATTTGAGCGCCTATGGATAAATAGGTAGAAGCGCGCGCTAAATTCAAGAAATAGTATTATATTTTAATGAAAATTCGATGTTTTGATTCTTTTAATGATTGAAAATAGTTGAAAAACGTTAAATATTTGATAAATATTATTTCAAAATTTTACATCATTATTGTAATTTTTACATGTGAGGCCCGGCCTCAGTTGCTTTATACGACGAGCCGCCACTGGGATCATCTACAAATTGATTTAATTCTACCCACAGGATGATCCATATTATGAATTCTTCATGTCAAAGAAAGCTTTTTGTATGTATATTTTTTTTGCATTTTAAGAACAATCTTTGTCTGGGACTAGTTTAAAATTAAAATAACAAAATTCGGTATTCAAAAAAATGTTTTATTATGGTATTGCAGTTTATCCATGATTTTTTTTTTCAAAACTATTCTAACATTACATTTTTTTTATTCAAAAAACAGTTTTCAACATTTTCCACGGATGGCCTAATAAATCCTAATAATTTGAGGAACATTATTATTTATTTTGTTTAAAACAAAGTTTTCCACCGATGGTTTTTATTCGTCCACCCAATGTTTTAATTATTATTATAATTATTACAATAATTACTATTCGTATCATTTGGTAATTAATATAATTTACATAACAATTCTTTTTTTTTTCTACTCTTTTGCCTATTGTAGTGATTATCATCGTTTATTTTTTCAGTTTAGTCTTTGATTTGCAATCTAAAGAATTTTTACATAAATTTGAAATCAAACGATTTTCACTGTCATTTTTAAAAATTATGCTAATAATAAGAAATGATAATGATGTTTGGAAATACATTTTTAGAAAAATTAATATAAAGTATGTATAAATTAATTGCCAAATATAAAATTATAAATCGTTGTACAGAATAGCTACAGTTTAGTAGTATTTTTTTGTTGCTAGTTTACTAGTTTTTATTCGGAAGATCCATGTTTGTAAGACCAATGAAAGTGATGATAATGCAAAGGATTAGGAATTTGGAAGTTCTTATTTGAAATAAAGCCATATATTTGTACTAAAGATATTTTGCCAGAAAAATGTCAAACTTGAACTAATTGCTTCAACTGATTGTCCTGAAACAGCACAATGTTGTTACTTACTGAAATATTCTTTGCATTATCTCATCGTTTAATCTTACGAATCGATGAATTTAACCAAAGATCGACTCTCTTCTACATTAACGATTATCCAGTCGCTCAATCAAATTCACCGAAACTTCATAATAATATCTTAATATTACGCTAAATTTTTAACATCCAAAAACAATCAACATATCTCTCGTTTGCCTACTTATTGTTTAGTAAAGATCCGACCTTCCCCTCTGTCTTTTCAATAATTATTGATATGAGGCGGTCGGATCTACCATGCTGCTTCCAATACGTCTCTAACATTCCAAAACATAGGTGTATGGTATTGTCATTTGGGTTCTTCACAATTCTTCCGGTACCATTTGTAGTAAAGCCATTCTTTTTTTGGCTACCTTAGAAATAACAACGTCGATTGGTTTGGTTGTGTCGTACAAAGATGGAGCATTTAAAATGATTACACCTGTGCCTACGATACAAGCCACTGTGAAAATCCAGAGGAAGAGTCTATCAAGCACCATTGCGACGTACTTCCAGTCTTCTTCAACCTATAAATACAAAATGTTTAAGTATAATAGAAAAAAACAAATTATAAATATCATACATTTTCAAAACTATCCTTATTCTTCATATGCTGAGCAATAAATTTCGAGTCCGCCACAGTCTTTTCCATGTCGTGACCGTCGATTTTCTCGGAGCCTGGACTCATGTCGCTAGGTGGGTCGAAAACACCCGTTCTGCAACTGGCTGGACTGTATAATTCTTCATCTCCGCCAGTTAAGGGTAGAGGAAACGGGGGTTCCCCAAAACACGACCCCAAGCCAGATGGGGGGATATCAAATCTTGCCGACGAGAGACCTTTAAATGGAAAATTGAATTCCAAAATAGAAATTATGTATTGATGGGGCTTACCTAAATCGAAACTATCGAAATTTCCTTTTTCGTACATTTTGAATTGGTCGCTCATAGGCATTTGAATGACGTCGGTTAACATGGAGTCGCCTTTGTCTTCGTCTTCTTTTTTCGGTCTTTTGATGAATAGAAACGGCGGCAGTATCTCTATGAACACAGTACGTACCCATGGGGCCAGTTTGTGCGTTACTGGTGATCTAAAGAAATGAAAATTTGTTGGTAAAATCTTGATAAGGAGGTGTTGGTTATGGAAGTGAGTTGTATTATTATTGTTACTTATACAGGTTCGCAAATAAGTGAGACTACTTTTTCGAACTTTAACGAATTTTATTAAACACAATAACGTAAAAATCATACGAAATTTACACTCCAAACTATTCCAAATAAAGCTTATTAGGCCAAGGCACTTAGCGAAATAACAGCCATATTTCAACATAAAATTTAACAGCAAACTATCGATGCTATATTGTTAAGGATCATTTATAGATGCTAAAAACCAAAAATGCAACATCTAATTACTTTTAGGGGATTTTATAAACAATATTTAGTGCAAAAACAGGGCTTTTTTTTTTGTTTATTTCACTGTATTTCGGAAACTAAGGATCGGGTGGTTTTGCTACTGTGGCAATAGTTTTAGAGCATTGAACAAGCTTTACAATGAGCCATCATACAACCCTGTAGGTCTTTTAGTCTTCGAGAAATGTTATTTTTTTTCCCAAAAAAAAGAGATTTTCGTAAAAAAATCCTAACCTTTTTAATTTTCATGCTAGATAATTAATTTTTTACACATACATGGTAGATGAGGCAGGCTTTATTGAGCCCAAATTTGGGCCCAGTCCGATGGGTCGTTTCGGCATAATACCCTTGTCAAGCAAAATGGGGATGTTCCTAAAGCAGTCTGTCGAATTGAGGATAATTTTTTTATATTTATTTTGAAAAGTCCACTGATAAGTCGAAATGCCAAACTATCGATCCTCTATCTCAGATTTCCCATTTAATTTTTTTATCGCAAGTAAAACGGCTTCGAACATGACTGAAAATGGAAAAAATTGATGGGAATTCAAACGGAGTGACAGCGAGCTCCCCCCCGCCCACGCAAATTCATTTTTTTTTCCATTTTCAGTGATGTTTGGATCCGTTTTACTTGCGATAAAAAAATTAAATGGAAAATCTGAGATAGAGGATCGATAGTTTGGCATTTCGACTTATCAGTGGACTTTTCAAAATAAATATAAAAAAATTATCCTCAATTCGACAGACTGCTTTAGAAACATCCCCATTTTGCTTGACAAGGGTATTATGCCGAAACGACCCATTGGACCGGGCCCAAATTTGGGCTCAATAAAGCCTGCCTCATCTACCATGTATGTGTAAAAAATTAATTATCTAGCATGAAAATTAAAAAGGTTAGGATTTTTTTACGAAAATCTCTTTTTTTTGGGAAAAAAAATAACATTTCTCGAAGACTAAAAGACCTACAGGGTTGTATGATGGCTCATTGTAAAGCTTGTTCAATGCTCTAAAACTATTACCACAGTAGCAAAACCACCCGATCCTTAGTTTCCGAAATACAGTGAAATAAACAAAAAAAAAGCCCTGTTTTTGCACTAAATATTGTTTATAAAATCCCCTAAAAGTAATTAGATGTTGCATTTTTGGTTTTTAGCACCTATAAATGATCCTTAACAATACTGCATCGATAGTTTGCTGTTAAATTTTATGTTACGAAAAAATTTATCTGCCCTGGCCTATATACGGCACGATTATTTTCGATCGTGGTTATTTAGTTTCTGACTTTACAGTTTACTGCATTTGTCGTACGTCAATCAGAACTGATCCTTACGCGGTGCGCACCGGGGCTTTTATAGTTATGTGCGTCCTTCTCTAACACGCTCGAATTTTCGTGATTCAGTTCATCTTGAAAATAGTCGAATTTTCTGGCTTCTTTAACTATAGTTACAGGGGGAAATCAAAAAGTACGAGTGGCGGGTTTATAACATTGCCCCCTTCCTCAAAGCTGTTCGCCCCGAACAGCTTATCCCAATCGCATCCAAGCTGGTGCGCTCTTGCCCTTGTATGGAGCCAGCCTCTCTATGTGATCGACCTTGAGTTTGGGTGTAAGTTGTATCCTGTAGGTATACCAAGTCGTTGATTTTCGTAATGACCTTGTATGGTCCTTCCCATGGTCGTTGCAGTTTCGGACTAAGTCCCTTTCTTCGCTGTGGTTGATACAACCAGACAGCATCGCCTTCATTAAAGGTGTTCAGTGACTGTCGCTGGTCGAGTCTCATCTTCATTCTGTCACTGGTCAGACGTAGCTTATTTCTGGCGAAATCGTATACCCCTCTAAGTCTGTCCTGCAGATCAGCCACGTAAACTGGAAGTACAGCCTCGTCTTCATCGACTGGAGGCCTGCCAAACATTAAATCTACTGGAAGCTTCATTTCTCTTCCAGTCAACAGCATAGATGGTGTATAGCCGGTGGACTCATGCTGAGAGCTTCTATAAGCCAGAAGGAAAAGAGGCACTAGTTTATCCCAGTCTCGCTGGTGATCATCTACAAACATCGAGAGGTATTGATTGATGGTCTGATTGTGCCTCTCGACCATTCCGTCCGACTGTGGGTGAAGTGCAGTCGACCTCGTTTTTTTTACTTCCAGTAACCTCATCAGTTGTTTCCATACCTCGGACTCAAAATTCCTTCCCTGATCGGTATGAAGTTCCATCGGTACCCCATGTAACTGCTTCCTGATTGGATATGGGAACTACTTCTGGCCACTTTGAAAAATAGTCCATAGCAACCATGAGGTACTTATTCTCTGACTCCGTCATAGGAGAAGGACCTGCAATATCCATGGCAATTCTCTCCCAAGGGGAACCGGGCAAGTACTGCTTCATTTCTCCACGGGATCGCGTCTTGGGTCCTTTCTTAAAAGCACAGAGATCGCATCTCTTGCACCACTCTTCAACATCCCTACGATGGTTGATCCAATAGTACCTATCTTTTACTCGAGCCTAGGTCCTATTTGCTCCAAAGTGTCCGCCAGTCTTACTTCTGTGCAGTTCTTGAAGCACTCTGTCCATCATGGTCCGTGGCACAACGGTCTGATATACTAGGTTTTTTCCATCTCGACTCTTCCATTTACGAGTGATCAAGTCATCTCGCAGGCACAACGAGTCCCATTGCAGCCAGTATCCCTTCACCGTTTGTCTCAAATTGAAAATTTTTTGCCATCCAGGTCGTTGTCCGTCTTGTAGTCATCCACGCACCATTTTCAATTCCTTATCCATATTTTGTTATTCTTCGAAGTTTTCTCTCGTAATGTCCTCATCAGTATTAGCGTCGTTGTCGGAATTTAAGCCTTATTTGTTGAACGACTACAGAATTTTGGGTTGCCTCCTTGTCCTCTTGCCTTTGGCAGAATTTGCATGAGCTATCAATGCATGGTCTTCGTGATAGGCTGTCGGCGTTGGCATGACTCCTTCCTTTGCGATGTTTGATTTGGAAGTCATAACTTTGTAATTTCTCTAACCAACGCACTATTTGACCCTCCGGATTTTTGAAATTGAGCAGCCATTGCAATGCAGAATGGTCGGTTCTAACTAGGAACTTCCGGCCATTGAGAAAGCTGTGGTAATGTTCAATAGATCTTACTACTGCCAGAAGCTCCTTTCGGGTGACACATTGATTCTTCTCTGCCTTTCCAATGGACTTACTGAAGTATCCAATTACTACTTCTTCGCCGTTTTGAATTTGGGAAAGAATAGCCCCTATTCCACTTTGCGAAGCGTCGGTGTCTAACATAAATAGACCTTCATCCCTGGGATACTCCAGAACTGGAGAACTAGTCAATTATTTATTTTTCAGCTCCACGAAAGACCGTTAACAGTCGGGTATCCAATCAAAGCGAGCGTTCTTTTCAGTTAGTTCATGTAAAGGCTTCGCAATCTTCCCAAAATCCTTGACAAACCGGCGGTAGTAACTGCAGAGTCCCAGGAAGCTTCTAACTTCATGTTGGTTCTTTGGTCTGGGCCAATCTCGCACAGCTTGGACTTTATCTGGATCTGTCCCTATTCCTTTTGATGACATGGCCGAGGAAGTTTACTTTTTCCTGGAATAGGACACACTTCTTGGGATTTAGTTGCAGATTGGCACTTCGAATCCTGGCAAAAACTTCCTTCAAATTCGACAGGTGGTCGTCGAAATCTTTGCCAATCATCATGTCATCATACAGATATACCATGCAGGTTTCCCAAGTCAGTCCTCGCAAAACTAACTCCATCAGTCTTTCAAAAGTGGCAGGTGCATTGCATAATCCAAACGGCATGACGTTAAATTGATATAGGCCGTTTCCTGCAGTATACGGTCTTCTCTTTATCCTCTTTATTGAGTTCCACCTGCCAATATCCACTTTTCAAATTTAGGGTTGAAAACCACTTGGATCCTGATAGGGTGTTAAGGGTATCGTCAATCCGGGGTAATGGATAGCTGTCTTTCTTCGTAACGTCATTCAACCTTCTATAATCCACACAAAAACCTATTAGAACCATCCTTTTTTGTAACAAGTACGACCGGCGATGACCATGGACTATTAGATTCTTCTATGATGTTGTCCTTCAGCATTTCCTTAAGCATGGTGTAAGCTTGCTGTTGCTTTGCGAAAGGGAGTCTTCGTGGTGGTTGGGTGTAGCACTTCTTGTGTCGATGCGATGATCTACCACATTAGTTCGTCCAGTAATTTTATCTTGCACCAAAACACCAGCCTCTTTCTGCACAAAGTCAATAGCTTTCTTCTTTTTTTGCTGGCCTAAGTGATTCCAGCTCTTTTCAAACTCCTCCAGAAGCTCTATTGATAAATGTGCTTCATTTGACACAGGCTCCTTCTTTGCGCATCTGACTACTCGTATAGCTGGTGTATGTAATGTCACCCGGTTTGTTGTTAGATTGGCCACTCTCACTGGAAAAACATTGTTGGAATTCACTAAGCAATATGCCACAAGTGTTCCATTCTGCATGTTTCCTGTTGGTTCCACGATCATGGTGTTCACGCCTTCTAGCTGTTTTTCTAGGTGTGCCCGCACATTCGACTCACTATTTCCAGGAATTCGTGTATCTTCATCAACGATTATTCTAATTTGAGACTCCTTATTTGACGGTGATGAGAAGAGTATTTCTCCGTTGCCCACTCTCAACATTTTATTTTTGAAGTCCACTGATAGGAAATCAAAGGTTTCGCTATGTCAGCAACTATCACTTCTACCTTAAGTTCGGTGCTGCCTATTCCAAATGTTACGGTGGTGTCTACAAAAACATTTATCAAATCTCCCTTAGCTGTTTCTAGCAGTGGTTTATTTCTCAACATCATTACAGAGTCCTTAGAAACCTTGTCGGGGCGAACCACTGATCTTGATGTCCCTGTGTCGATGGTCAAATCACATTTCTTGCCGTTGAGGGTGCCTTAGGCATCGAGACTTTCACACATCTTCTTGATGGAGAACACCCTTACTTTGGGGGCTCGAGAATCGGTGGTCGCCAGCATTCGCCCCCTTACACTGGTGAGGTGGCTTTCCTGGTTTTCCTGATGATGTCTGGAACCACCTTCTTCCTCCGCTGCACGATCTCCTGAGCGGGAACGTCGCCTACAGTTTCTGCTAATATGTCCTCGGCCGCAGTTGTAGCATTTGATCTGTTTTCTGGCTCTTGGCTGTTGGTCTAACTTCGCGCAGAATTCCTGAAACAGCGCCTCCAGTTTTAGGAACATATCTGCGTCTGAGTTTGGGCGATCTTCTGCTATATTCACTTCCCTGATCTTTGCTTCTTCGATTTGAAGAGGCATTTTTGGCAGCTTCATATTCTAATGCATGGACAACGGTGTCAGCTAAGGTGTTATGCTTACTCATTCTCAGTGCTTGTTGCAGGTCTGTATCTTTTACTCCATCGATAAAGTACTGGACATTGATCTGTTCAATGAAGTCTTCAGGATCTTGTGGATACGCCATTCTCACCATTCTCTCGATGTCGCTACTAAATTCCTGCAGTGTCTCAGATGAACCTTCGACTATGCTTTTGAGTTGACTCTGGTAGACTTGACTGAGATACCTGTTTGCGTATCTCAGCTCTAAGGCTCCTACAACAGCTGCATAATCACTTTGTTTTGCCTCGGGAATATTTTGAAGAATTTCAAGCGCCTTTCTTCGTAGTGCAAGTACCAATGATGTTGCTTTCTGCTAGTCATCCCATCCATTTGCACTAGCAGTGGCCTCGAACTGTCGTTTATTCATGGACCATGATGTTTCGCCGTCAAAAGTTGGTGGTTTGAGTTGGCCGCGTACGATTGGGCTCACCGATACATCCATTTTACTGGTACTTTCGTTGATATTGGGTTCTTCGCGAATTTTCTCCATTTTCTTTTCCAGTTTTCAATATTTTTTCTCGAATTCCTCTCGGATCGTCCCTATTTCGCCTTTGACTTCTTTTCGAACCTTCTCTATTTCTTCGCCTTTGACTTCTTCTCGAACCGTTTCTATTTCGCCTTGACTTCTTGTTGGATGTTCTGGAACAACCCAGCGATCCTGTCAATATCCCTCTGTCTTCCTGTTCCTGCAGAATTTTCTGGAGCCGGTCTTGCTCTTGCTGTCGTTTGTCCTCTTCTTCCTGTTTTTCTTTAAGTCGCCTGTCTTCTTGTTCTTGAAGGATTTTCTGTAGTCGGTCCTGTTCTTCTTGTTTTTCTTTTGCTCTATTCTCATCCGCAAGTGTCAACAAACCCAGCACCTGCGGGGGGATTACGAAAACACGACTCGAAATGGACACTCGATACGAAAGTGAATACGCATCGATTGTGCTCGAAACGTCAGAGATGATTAGGTACAAGTTTCGTTTTGTGTTCGTGTGAGTTCGGAGATTTGTGACGCCTTTCGCTCAAATTTACCAAATTTTGTCAATTTTTTGACATTGACTTAATACTAATTCTAATTTTTTATTGTTGTGTTGTGGTTATTTGTGTTCTTTAAAGATTAATTTCGCAATTTCAAAGTGTTTAAAAATTTTTATAAAAGGAAAAAGTTAGTAATATGTTTACCATAATCAGAGTCATAAGGCGGCGAAGGCAAAATGATGCAAGAAGACAAGAAAATCGTGCATTAATTCATATGAGAAGAGAAATCAGAGAAAGTTATGATTCCTTTTTACATCCAGGGTCCTTATTCTTGAAACAGGGAGTAGCGTTCCCAGAAGAACGAGTGTTCCGTCTTTTTCAATGATATGCAAATGATAACGACAAAAGTAGGTACAAAGACGGAACACTCGTTCTCTTGGGAACCCTGCTCCCCTGTTTCAAGAAAAAAGACCCAGAGGCAAGGTTTATTGAACTATTTAGACTTAGCACAGTCTTGGTCCAGAACCTTATTGACTTGGTACGACCTCATCTACAATTACCCACAGATTCTTTATTTTCTGTAGGCTGTTCCAGAGTTTCCTTTGAATGACTTTGCCGTTGGGCCCTGCAAATTGACCTCTAGCAAATAGAGAATGTTTATCTATAAAAGATAATAAAACCTGCCAATGGCGATCATTAATTTTAAGTCAATTTTTTTCAGCGATTTTTCTGTTCAAAGTTCAAAATACTACAAAACGTCAAAACAAAATAAAGAATCAAACGAATTTTGGCCCCCAAAAATCCAACATAACTTAACTTTATTGGACTCGATGGCGGTTTCGGTTCGAATCGAGAGTTCGTAATCCGCCCCCTGGTTTAGCTGTTCTTCCATTTCGGCAGTCTGTTTGATAACATAAAAGAGCAATCCAGAAGACTGGCAAGATAGGCATTAAAATTGGCAAAATTCGACTACAAGGTGAAGTACAAAATGGGTGCTAGTTATATGGACGCGGACTGCCTATCCAGATATCCAGTATTGCACCCTCCGCTAGAAATAGTTGACGACACGATAGGCGAAATCCCAACATCCGCCACGGGAAGCCAAAATGTCGCCGAGTTGCAAGATAAAGAAGAGGGCATTAGACACCATGAGAGAAGCCATAGAAGACACAGACACCAAGAAGATTCCGATCGGTAAGTACAATAAAAAGATCAAAAAACTTCCGACTGATTAAAGGCGTCCTGTATAAAGCCAATAATGGCCAGATAGGCCTGGACGTACTGGTAGTCCAGTATCGGTCAGATAAGGGAATTATATGCAGCCCCAACAAGTGGGCACCTAGGCCTTTCAAAGACTCTGCAAAAAAGCCAGGAGAGATTTTATTGGGCGAACATGAATAAGGATATAGAGAAATATGTAAAAGAGTACCAGGACTGCCTGCCTAGAAAGGGGCAAGTGTATAGGAAGCCAGCAGGGGCCCGATTCTTGTCTTAGGGGGTAGAACTCCTCGAGAGAACAAATTTTTCGTCCTTATCATTCTTGTTTACTTTTCGATTACGCTGACAAGGACAAAACATTCGGTCTATCGAGGAGCTTCACTCCCTGAGACGAAAATCGGGCTCCAGGACTATTACAACCCATCAAGGTCGAGGAAATCTTGGAGAGAGTAGGCATAGACCTACTAGGGCCATTCAGAAGAAGCATTAAACGGAATACAATGATCGTAGTGATATGCCACGAGATTTGCTATTACAGCGGAAATTCCCAAGCGGCAAGGCGGGACCCGCCGCCAAATTTTTGCTCGAAAAAGTGCTCCTAATCCATGGAATGCCTAAAATGATACTCAGCGACAGAGGCAAATGATCCAATCTGATTTGGTGCAAGAACTCCTTAAAATATTGGGAGTCAGAAGCAATTTTACCACGGCCTACCATCCCTGCTGCAATGGGCTCACGGAAAGGTTAAACAAAACCCTAGTAGATATGTTGTTCATGTACTGCAACTCTTCTACATACCCCCCATAACCTTTGCATACAATACTGCCGTACAGGAGACAATACGTTTCAGTCCATTCATGCTAATGTATGCTAGGAACCCAGTGCTACCCAGTGAAGTAGCACTGATAGACGGGGACGTCAAAACTGACGCAAAAGAAATTAGAGAAAAGGCTCTAGCCATGAGGGCAATACTATCCTACAATGACCCTTGGACAAAAGGATCACCTATAAACTCGGACGATATAGAAATGAAGGGAGGAGAATAAGCAGGGTTAAAGAACCTGAAACCGGATGCCCCAGAGAACCATTAACCATAGTCCGCCCAGAAGAACATTTGTCCTCGAAATTCCAGATTTAAACAGGTCAACGCGTAAACTAATGTTTATACGAAATGGATATAAAAACCGATGGTACCAGCATCTATTCAGGTCTTTCTCTTCCCAGGGTCTCCTTACAGCAGGAAGTAGCATTAATCCCTTTTAGTTCGCATCTCTCTCCTCAGGGTCTCCTACCGCAAGGGAGCAGCAGCTACGCATCTCTTCAGGGTCGCCTTACCCCAGAGAGTCTTGGAGCAATCCCTTTTTAGGGGCTCCTATATATACGTGCGGGAACCAGCTGCACCCCAGTATAGATACATAGAACCCCAAACCCAAGAGTCATGTGGCATAACTACGTTCCCACTAGGAAGCAATATACGATAAGTGCCTTTTGTAGTTGTGTGTTTTCCTGGAAGAACAACTCCTAACCCCAAATCCCCCACCTAGCCGCGAGGCGTATGAGAATATAAGACAGTAGACAGTTTTAATGAACAAATGAGGAGTGTGTAAAATAAAGACGTTACATTGGACGAAGTAACAACATCTTAAAGGGAAAATAGGATGAGGGATGCCAAAGCCCAGGAAGAAGACATCACTCTGGGATGGGAAATGAAACAGGTTTTATTGTTGGAGGTAGTAGGTAGTTGGGATGTTGCTGAGGTAGTCGCTTGAACAATATGCATGATAATAATTTGAAAGATAATTGAAATAAATCATTCCATATCTCTGATGCTGGTTAATAGAATGTTTTACTTACCTAAAGTTTACATTTAACACGGCAATAGTCACAACAACCGATAACGTGCACAACAACATAGTGAATAACAAGTATTTCCCCAGCAACGGTACCGTGATCGACGTAGGAGGAATAATTTCTACCAGCAACAGGAAGAACACGGTCAGCGACAGCAAAATCGAAATACTTAACGACACTTTTTCGCCGCTGTCGCTGGGCAGATAAAACACTAGGATACTGAGAAACGAGATTCCCACACAGGGAATAATCAGGTTCACAGTGTAAAACAAAGTCTTTCTTCGGAGGGTTATATTGAAGATGATGTCGGGGTAGGGCTCCTCGCAACACGAGTAGTACTTTTCGTTTCGTACGGCCGGTACTTTCATGATGTCCCACTCGACGGATATGTAATAGTCTTGGAGGTCGATGCCTACGTCTATGTTATTGCTGTTTTCTACTTGCTTTAAGTGACGAAGATCGATCTGGAAAAGAAAATAAGTTCTTAATTATTTTGGAAAACTTTTATTTAGTTGGATTAACAAGGAACTGAAAAAAAGTTTCTTGCCACGACAGTTATTCTTTTATGGGTTTATCCTTCACTTCTTAATTTTCTCTTTTGAGGATGTACAATAAATTTTCGATGTTTTATGGGTTTGTTTTGCTTGCCAAAATTGTATCTTGGGGCGCGCTTCAGGCGGAAATAAAAGAAAAAAACCGATCTGATCCATTTCCTTTTTTTTTTTATGTAAATCTTGTTATCGAGTAACGGGGAAAATAAAATCCAATTAACGGGAATTTGCTTGCTTTTGTGTTTATTTAAAATGTATTTTAGCTTTCGGCGTATTTGCGAAATTTTAATGGAGTTCGGGAGAGCCTTTGAAGTAATCAGTTGTTATATGTGTCTTCGGTATGATGAAGAATCACTTAAAATTGCATCAACCGGTGAGAATGTTAAATCTAGGACCAGAGGAAGTCTTGTCTATGCTCCCTCTTTTTTGACGATCCCGATCTAAAGCTGAAACTCATAGGGCTTAATTCTTCTCCTCGTATAGTCAAATTGAAAATTTTTAGTGAAATATGAATTTTTTTACCTCAAAACCTCTTCCAATTGAATAAAATCTCTCCAATAATTAACCCCATTAGACCATTAGCTAGAGCATCGGGAACCTATAATATTTACATTAAACCTGAGGAATGTTATCGGTTAACTTTTATAGGGCCCTTATTCTTTTATGCGTTTCTAGAATTTCCCCTCTTGGCACTTGAATATATTTCATGTAAACTATTAATTTTCGATTATTATTTTGTTTTGTAATAATATTTCGAAAATTCTATTTTTGTCACTCCTAGCTAGTAGCTAGGCTTTGCTTTGTAAGACTTAGAAGATAGGGAACCAGACGCTATACCTGATAGATTTCTTCCTATCTTATCTTCTTCAATACTGTTTCTTTGATTTGGTATTGTCCAATCAATAATATAATTAGATATAAAAGTCCTTTTTTTGGGAATATTCAATATAATCCAAGCTACGATTCTCCTACGCGATGCAATGTGTTGAGTTAGCAGCATCAGTAGTATCGACTAAAACCAGGCCAGTCTTCAACCTCCAGCAAATGAGGACTAAGCAGAAAAATACATATTATTGTAAAAAATGTACCTATATATGGTTTTTGTATTGATTAGTTTAATATAAATAGCTGTAATTATTTCAATAAAATCAGTATCTAACAAACCATTGTTGTACTCACTATACCCCTTGCGGTTTCACTTCATGTCTGAATAGAGTCATCAGCGCTCAACAGACATTCTGGTCCGTCGAGCCGGATCCAAAGACGGAGACAAGATTCCGTCGAGAAGGATCGGCAAAATCACAACGAGCGCGAGATCTACTTGTGGTTTGCAGCGAGATTACTGCAGCTTGAGAAACGATTAGCAAGAGATAAAGAACTAATTATAAACTCTAAGGCGTTTATGAGAGAATATGAAGAATTAGACCATATGTACTTGGTACCGGCGTCAGACGTAGCTGCTAAATATTATATACCTCAGCAACCAGTGATAAAAGAATCAAGCACTACAACCAAGCTAAGGGTGGTGTTTGACACTTCTTCTAAAACATCAACTGGTATAAGTGTGAACAATACTATGCCAACTGAATCAATACTTCAACAGGAGCTCTCGGACATCCTACTATGCTGGAGATGTCACAGAATAGTAGTTTCCAGCGATTTAGAAACCAATACAGGACTACCATTAAAAACACTCACGTACGGAACCACTGCTGCTCCATATTTAGTCATAAAAACCATATAGCGTTTAGCAAAAGATGAGGAATCAAGGTGCCCGAAGGCATCCAAGATCAGCAGACTTGATTTCTATGTCGACGACCCATCGTCAGGAGCCGATACCATTAAGGACGCAATACAGTTCCCAACTCAGCTCACTGAATTGTTTCTGGCCGGAAGATTCGTCCTCAGAAAATGGTCAACAAATAGCATGGAAGTTTTGCAGTCGATCCCAGAAAAAGTGAGAGATCAGAGTATGATGGAGATAACTGAGGATCAGACACAGATCACTTGGCATTCATTGGGCACATCCTGACGATACGTTCCATTTTATGGTAGATATATCAGCAATCACAAAAATAACAAAGAAAAGGATTCTATCCGCAGTATCGAGGATATTCGATTCACTTTGGTGGATTACCCCGGTAACCATAAAGGCGAAGCTTCTAATACAAGATATATGGCTACAAAAGTTAGGTTGGGATGATGAGCTACCGGAAAATATTCGGTTGAAGTGGAAGACATTCCAAAAAGAATTGAAAAACGTAGACAAAATCGTGATACCACGATGGACTAACCAAAATCCTGGGAGCCACTTTGAACTACATGGATTCTGTGATGCATCTGAAAAAGCATATGGCGCAGTTATATACACTCACCGGCACAAAATTCCGCCAACCTTAAATTTCGGCCAACGTTCGGCTCGCAAACCTACTGCTTCACCACAAAAAAGTAAAGCTTCTACTCCTAATACAACAATATACTATTATCGACGTTGGCTAACGCGTTTATTGTGACAGAATATTTGCAGATGAGAAATTTTACTAGGCGGCAAGGCTCTGGCAGAAGGAGAATGACCACTGCAGCTGATGATCGTTTTGTCATTGTTAGTTCTTCAAGAGATCGAAGATCTACTGCTGTGGGTCTAAAAAATGACTTGCAAATGATTCGTCGAGTAGGCTGATGTGAGTAAAAGAACAATACGTAGAAGATTGGCAGAAGCTGGGCTCCATTCACGCAGGCCATCATTATGTCTACAATTACTTCCTCGGCATCAACAACACCCACTGAAGTTTGTAAGATTGCATTCTCACTGGACTCTAGAACAGTGGGGAAATGTACTATTCACAGACGAATCCAGGGTTTGTTCAAGGTCGCCGGATGGTCGTGAGCGGGTGTGGATATAGACGTGGGAATGAAGGATATGCTGACTCCATATCAGAATGCATATCTCATATCATGACGGTTCAGTCATAATTTGGGCGGGTATTTCTACCGAAGCACGCATCGATCATGTATTTGGTGTGAAAATGAAGCTCTAACCGTCCACCGTTACATTGAGGAAATCCTCCAATAAGTTGTTTCATTTGCTCCTTTTATTGGGAGCCAATTCACATTAATGCATGATGCATGATAATGCTTAACCTCACGTTTTACATGTAGTGAGCGAATATCTGGATGAAGTTGGAATTGCAAGATTGGAATGGCCCCCATGTAGTCCGGATCTCAACTTAATCGAACATCTTTGGGATCAACTTAGAGGGAACGTTCGTCGTCATTTTGTGCAACCACAAACCTTGCAAAATTCACAACTGGCGCTGACCGAAGAATATGAGGCTAATCCTCAAGAAAGTTCTTAGAAATAAGCCATAAAGACCTAAATCCTGGAAAATAGGCAACGAGATATGCACCTTTTCATTTAGTGAAAAAAGCAAAATATCGAAAAGCTAAAATATTCGGATTGTAGATAATCGCTCAAAGGTTTATGCCAAATTTCAGCTAATTCTGTTGTCAGGTTTTTTCTTCTCTTCCAAAAAGGATTTTAGAAAATCAACCAATCAGAGCACAGAGCCACAGAATAACAATCAGATGGAACACAGAAAGAGGGATCCCATTTGCTTTTCTATGACCTCGAACCGGGCTAACGGAGGAAATATCAGTGGTGCGCACTGGTTAAACCGTCTCCCGACGACATTTAACGTCACGAATACTGATAAAACTAACTGGTAACGCGCTACCACGGAAAATATTTCCCCCGTTGCCCAAGGGGCGTGACTTCCTCCGTGACCATATCATCTCTCTCTCTGTGTTCCTTCTAATTGTTTGTTGTTGATTGGACTTACGCAAGTTTCACTCTGTCTTATGACGACGACGGACTTGTGCAAATTTCTTTTCATGGTTGTGTGGCTTCATCTAACAATTTATCTCCCAAATATTTTGTTGGATCATAGATTATTGAGTTTCTCACAAGACTGCACTAAAATCTTAATTTTGAAAAAAATTGGACTTAGGCAATTTTCATATGATGCCGACGAAATGGAACAACAACTTCTTGGAGGATACAAGATCGGTGCGTGCTTCGATAGAAATACTCGTCCAAATCATAACTGAACCACCATGATATGATCCGTTCTTATATGGTGTAGTCAGCATATCTTTAATTTCTACGTCTGTATACCTGCTCACGACCATCCGGCGACAAACCCTGGATTCATCTGTGAATAGAACGTTGCCCCACTGTTCTGGAGTCCAGTCAGAATTCAATCGTGCAAACCTCAGTTGGTGTTGTCGATGCCGAGGAAGTAATTGTAGACATAATGATGGCCTTCGTGAATGGAACCCAGCTTCTGCCAATCTTCTACGTATTGTTCTTTTACTCACATGTGCCAACTCGCCTACTCGACGAATTATTTGCGAGTCATTTTTTAGACCCACAGCAGTAGATCTTCGATCTCTTGAAGAACTAACAATGACAAAGCGATCATCAGCTGCAACGGTCAGTCTCCTTCTGCCAGAGCCTTGCCGCATAGTAAAATTTCTTGTCTGTAAACATTCTGTCACAATAATCGCGTTAGCCAACGCCGATAGTTTTTAATCGAAAGCTTGACGAACATTTTCTAAAAATAATATCGTTTTAGTAAAAAATTTGCAACAACAGTTTGTTTTACTCCTGTATAATATAGTGTAATCGCAAAATGTTACTTTATGAATTAATTAGAGAAAAACACAATAAATGGATCTACAAACTGATAACAAAATCACGGAAATCGGATAATAAATAAAAAAGTTATAAAACATCAAACTTGGCCGAAATTCCAGGGTGGCGGAATTTTGTGCCGGTGAGTGTATAAGAAAATACTGGCAACTAATACTTTTCCAAGACTGGAGCTATGTTCAGCACTGCTACTAGCAAAACT